AGCCACAGATACTCTGGTTCGTGCCCCAGATTACGCTTCCACGTATCGGGAGTGGCGCAAGTCATATCACTTTGACGTGCACTTGCCCGAAGACAGCACCGGAGGAACAGCTGCGGACCCCAATGTCATGCCCAGTTCGTATGTGTCATACCACGTGTGGGAGTACCGAGACTGGGAAACACGAGGTTATCAACGCCTTGGCGTTCCACTACCAGCCATTGGATCGGCGGCGCTCGTGAATGAAGAAGCTACTTCCTCGTTGGAGTCTTCAGTTCCGGATGGGGCGTGGCGGGAACCTTCTCCACCACCATTCTATGATCCTTGGAACGAATCGGATTGATACTTGAGCCACATGTCGGGTAAAATGATGCGATTGTGCCTGATTTGATTTCGGCATCATCTTGGGTTGTCTTGGCTTGTGTTGCGCTTTCCGTCTCCATGTTTTCGCCGCTACCCTTTTGCCTCAAAGCGGCTTCCCTGGTTGATATGTTCAATTCTACAATATATGGCACTGCAAGATGGACCCTGCCACGCTACTTTGAGTACGACATCGTCAATGGCCCTGCGAGCACAAGCGTTGAATGGATTCGGGTCTATGTGCCTGGTCCGTGGCAACCAGTTGCCGAAAACACCTTGGGGCCTGCCCCGGAGGACACAACCACGAATGGCGCAAATTCTACCACTTCGACGTCCCAGTGACAGCACGGGCGGCACCAATATGGGCTCTGTTTCCCAGCCGGTCTCATACGCGTCCTTCTATACATGGCAGTATCGTGACTGGGTCACCAGAGGATATCAACGGCTCGGTCATCCGCACCCCAACATTGCACGTCCAGTTTTCGCTTCGGGATCACCAGACCTCATGTACGCTGGACTGTCCTCTTCGTCGGCATCCTCGAACTCAGATGGTGGCTGATGCTCGTCCTCGTCTTTCCTGGATATTCAATTCAATTTGATTCGGGCGAGTGACTTCGACACCTGAGCCGCGCCTTGCTACAAAAGTGTTTGCTTGCATGTTTGATGTTGTGTCACATGTAGTTGTGGCTGTCTGCAGCCGTACACCTCTCAATTTGTCATCAAGGGTTTGTGTTGTCATGCCGTGGCTGGAGTGGTGTCCGGATCCTCAACAGCCAGATGCCCAGTGGGTCAAGATCTTTCATCCGGGATCATGGACTCCACAGGACGAACATGATGCTCCGCCTCCGCCTCATACATACAGAGAGTGGAAGGAGTTCTATGTCCCAAATCCTGATCAAGACGGTGCGCAGCCCAACAACAGCATTTGGTACAAAAGGGACTGGGCTACAGAGGGCTATCGGCGAGTCGCCGCCCCTCAAGCTGGTCACGACTTCGACTCGATGTCTTTTCCTGATCAACATAGCGTGGCCACGCAATCCTCGGCATTGTGTATGTCACCGCAAATGTTGGATGCGATTCTTAGATCATCGGATGCGGCGGCTTTCTCCACTGAGGATCTCACTCGTCTTCAAGATGGGATCTCTCAACAACTGTCGGATCGCGCGCGTCATGCATCCCAACAACACCAACCAGTACGTGCATCTCGTGGAGTTGCACCACCAGAGTCTATTGGGGTCTCTGATCCATACCTGCCTACGACCCAATCATGCAGCTCCACCGCCAAGGTGAAGCCTATCTTCGAGCTAAATGATGACTAGACTGATGCGTGTTGGGCATGGCACAAAAGGGTGATTTTCATGCTTGTGCTTCCTTGCTTGGTTGCTGATTGTGCATGGTTGTACATGGTGACTGTTTCTTTACTAGCTGGATCTGAACCCGCGGTACGCCCTGTCTCTCACTTCGGCATGGACATCGAGGATGCAAAGCAGTACCCATGGCTCGAATATTCGGTCTGGCAGGATCAGGAGTGGGTGCGGATCTATACTCCGGGACAACCTCAGCTGTGGCAACCAGGAGAAACCGTACCTGACCTACCAGACAACTCGTTTCGGGAGTGGAAGCGGGTAACTGATCCCATTGGTGGGACTGGTGAACACAGTCAGGCGTGGACCATTCGCGACTGGCAGCATCAAGGATACCAACGCATTCTTTCTCGCAGGGAGTCCTTCTCCACACATCATGCCCGTGATCAATCACTTGTTGACGTGCAGAATTCGGACGCAATCCGAGTCGAGGAAATGTTCACCTATGCTCCCCCTATTTCTGACGGTGATCGCTCGACTGCTTTGCAATTCCCTCCAGTCTTCTATGGCGACACCCGTAATGCTCATCGTGGTGATCTTTCGTTCCCGTCTTCTGAGCGGCTTAGGGCAGTTTCGCGTTCCCCTCGCCGCGGTGGATATTTTGGCAAACGATAGGGACACAAAGTTGAGCATGTGATCTTCCTGCTGAAAAAGAGACTTCTCGCCCCTCACTGAGGGGCGTGTGTGTGCGGAGTGACAGAATACCCTGTCACCACTATTAGTAGCAGGGGAGTGCGGCATGACTGAGGGACCGCACTCAACGAAGCTACCTCAGTCATGGGATACCGGATCTGATCAATCCGGCGTACCTGCTTTCCGTGATTCTGAATGTCTTTTGGCCCCCTTGGTTGCGGCGCTGTTTGTGCTTCTTGTTCTTTCGGGTAACGTGTTCGCTGCTAGAGGGAAGCCGAGTGCATCGCGAGCAGAACCAGTCGAGACTCATCAGTTGTACTCGAGACTCATCAGTTGTACTCGAAAGATTAGCACCCTCCATCTGGAGTTTAAGTGTGTGTGTGTGTGTGTGTGTGTGTGTGTGTGTGTGTGTGTGTGTGTGTGTGTGTGTGTGTGTGTGTGTGTGTGTGTGTGTTGTGTGTGTGTGTGTGTGTGTGTGTGTGTGTGTGTGTGTGTGTGTGTGTGTGCGTGTGTGTGTGTGTGTGTGTGTGTGTGTGTGTGTGTGTGTGTGTGTGTGTGTGTGTGTGTGTGTGTGTGTGTGTGTGTGTGTGTGTGTGGGTGTGTGCGTGCGCGCGTGCGCGCGTGCGCGCGTGCGTGTGCGTGCGCGTGTGGGTGTGCGTGTGCGTGTGCGTGTGCGCGTGCGCGTGTGCGTGCGCGTGCGCTTGCGCTTGCGCGTGTGCGTGTGCGTGTGGGTGTGGCTGTGTGTGTGTGTGTATGAATGTATGCATGCATGCATGCATGTATGTCTGTATGTGTGTATGTATGTATGCATGCATGTATGTCTGTATGTGTGTATGTATGTATGTATGTATGCATGCATGCATGCATGCATGCATGCATGCATGTCTGTATGTGTGTATGTATGTATGTATGTATTGCATTGCATTGCATTGCATTGCATTGCATTGCATTGCATTGCATTGCATTGCATTGCATTGCATTGTATTGTATTGTATTGTATTGTATTGTATTGTATTGTATGTGTATTTGTATTTGTATTTGTATTTGTATTTGTATTTGTATTTGTATTGTATTGTATTGTATTTATGTATGTGTGTTTTCGTGTGCGTGTGTGTACGCGTGTACGTGTGTATGCGTGTGTCTGCATCTGCGTCCGCGTCTGTGTTTGCGTCTGTGTCTGTGTCTGTGTCTGCGTCTCTGTGTCTCTGTGCCTCTGCATCTCTGTGCATGTCTGTGCATGTCTGTGCATATCTGTGCATGTCTGTGCATGTCTGTGCATGTCTGTGCATGTCTGTGCATGTCTGTGCATGTCTGTGCATGTCTGTGCATGTCTGTGCATGTCTGTGCATGTCTGTGCATGTCTGTGCATGTCTGTGCATGTCTGTGCATGTCTGTGCATGTCTGTGGTCTGAGCGTGTCTTTGCGTGCCTGTGCGTGTGTCTTTTGTCTGTCTGTCTTGCTGTCCTTTTCTGTGTCTTTCTGAGTGACTTGTGTCTCCTCTGTGTGTGCGTGTGCCTCTGTGTGTCTCTCTGTGACTCTCTATGGTGTCTCGTCTCTCGTGTGTGTATGTGTCTCTCTCTCTGTCTCTCTCTCTCTCTCTCTCTCTGTCTCTCTTGTGTCTGTGTCTCTCTGTGTGCCTCTGTGCGTCTCTAATCCAGTTGAACTATTCACACACACACACGCAGGCACGCAAACACGCAAACGCACAGACACGCAGACACACAGACCTCGTTGCAGGTGAGAACGTTGTCAGTTGCATGGAACAAACTCCAAACGTCAACCCGGGACAAATCAGAAGGACGGTACAAATTAAAGGAGTCCCTCTAAATTGACTTCATTCTCCTCCAAAATTAATTTCAAGTTGACACTACCTCTGGCCTCACATGCCTGCCAGTTCAAAGGAGAATGCGCCTGGGCCCACAGCCGCTCGTGCAAGGACAGCGCCAAAACATCCTGGAGCAACGACCAACCTCTGATGTTCCTCGCTTTCCCTGATGTTGGGATAAGCAAGAGTTGGGTATGAATTTGAACTGGGGACCCTTTGGTGGGCTGCATTTAAGCGGAGATCTATGTCCACCAAGCATTTCTCGGGGTCATGCAAAACCATAGGCAGTTATGCAAACTTGATCCTTGACAGGTGCCTTTCCCCAGTCCAACACCCCCCCAAACCGGAAACACCCTTCGTTCCTTGGTAGAAACACCCTTACCCCTAAACAAGGTCTCCTTTTCCTGACCCCGGGGGAGGGGGGGCGCGCAGGATGGCGACAGCATGCAGGACCAGCTCCCTTCTGGAGCCTATTGGGGGGGGGTCCATGTGGCCTGAGACGCCCCTCGGCGCGGCCCTTTTTTTGGGGTTGCGTGAACGCCCCTATCAGTTGGGGAGGGGCGTCTGGGAAGGGGTAGCCAATGAAAGGCGTCTGGGAGCGGCTGCAAATCCCAACCTGTCAACAGATCGCATGGGGTCCAAGCGTCCAGCCGGATGCAGGCCAAAGGTTTCAGAGAAGGAAGGCCACGCGAGCGCCCAAAAAAACAAGGATTCTTGTTTCCAACGTCGTAATGGCTTTCTTGGGCCCAAGGTCCCTATCAGACTGACAGGGACCTTGTGGTCCCCATCAGATTGAGAAAGGGTAGTAGAACCTACTAAAATTAGGCGCTGCTCAAGTGCAAATTGAGCAACCTCCGAACCAGAAAGCCCGAGGATCTCCCCAAATTCGAGTCCTAACTCGTCTCTCTGATCAAATGCCAAAGGTCCTCCAGCGCTGAACGTGCGTAAAGGATTGCTTCAGCCTCAGGATCCAAGCTCCGTCTTAAAGTGGTCCTTCAAAGTCTATCCAGCTTGACTTTCAGGGAGCTACTTTGGTTGTAGGGTCGCGTATTGTGCGCATCTGGGCGGTTCTCAAAAACTTAGGGCAACCCAATGGCTGGTTTCCTTTGGGCCTCCTTTTGAAAGTCGGCTCCCAAACAAAATGACGCCGCCCCGGAGGTGGGTTGTTCAAGATGGGGTCGCGGATTGGAGCACCACTTTGCCTTCATTTGATCGTAAGAGTAAGTCACGCATGTCGCTGCATGGGGACCCAGCAATTCTGGATGGCCGCGCGGGGAGGTCAGTCCCATTGCACTGAAATCAGTCCCTGATGGCACTGATGGCCCTGACTCATCCATTTGCACCACCATTCACCGGTGGCGTGAGTGCCAGCACATGACTTGTGATCTCCGGGCCCAAAACCAAGCGGTTGCCCTCGCCCTGAGACTCCTCGAACATGGAGCTCAAAAAGAGCTCGCTGAGGCGCCCGCGCACCACGTGTAGCCAAGCTCCGTTATCCCTGAGCGGACGGCGCTCGACTTCCAAACTTTGCGGAGCCAACCTAAGGGGCCCCAAAAGAAGACCAGAGTTATGAGCAATCATGGAAAAATAGAAAGAAGCTTGGACAATTGAGAGAAAGAAGGAAGTTCACGGAAAACTACTTTGGTTGCTTGGGGAGGCTCTGTTCCAAATTCCCACATGAATGATCTCCTTCTCGGACCACGTGCCTCCAAGGTCGTCCTCACTGTCGCTGTCTGCCGCCAGAATCCTCAGATTCCATGTCAGGACATGATCCCATGTGACCGATCCAAGGCGGCGTGGCTTGAAGCAGCTGCAACATCACAAAACGTGCCGGAAACATGCACAACCGGGGCGGCTGTTTATCGGGCTCTCAGGTGACACAGTTTGATCTCGGGTAAGCGACCTTGTGTGAAAGCCAATGGAACATCACTGTACGTTGCGTTCAGCGCCAAGTGCGGACTACCTGGAAGGAACTATCTGCACCAGCTGTTGCCAGGAGGACAGCAGCAGCGCTGTTGTCCACAGCATTTCTAGACTGGGCTGTCAACGGCTTGCCATTCCACAATTGTTTTGCTTGAAAATGGATAGCCCTCGTCTTGCCGTCCTGTTCGTGCTGTCTGCCTTACACTGTTTGCCCAGACATATCTCAAAGCAAGGCAGCTCAGTCTTATTCCACTCAAGGAAATCCCTACTTTTGAAGCAAGCAGGGCTCCATGTTTGGTGCCCAAGGATGTCAACCAAGGGGGTACGCGGAACCAAGTTTCAGCCTTTCGGGTAAGTGGAACTCTGCATGTAAGGTGTTTCCTCCCATGAAGCACTTTCAAGATGGTTGACTCCTTTTCGGACTTCCCTTTAAACCCCGCAAAAATAATATTCTCAGAAGATCAGCAGACTCCCTTTCGGCTTCCCTTTAAGCCCCCCAAAAAGGAAGAAGACGGCACCTGCTCCCGGCTTTGGCGTTTCGCGCCTGGGGCGCCCAGCTCTTCGCCATGGGGCTCGAAGGCCTCCCCCACGCCCAGGTACAGCAAATCCTCGAGGGACAAACCCCAAAGGGCTGCGGCTCGAATACACGTACCAAAATGGCACCTTGGTAAATGGAACCAGAGACTATATAGATCTATATAGAACCTGCGGCGCAACTCGCAACTCGTAACCCTAGCTGTCATTTTTTATGAGCCACACCCATCTGACATCCCTGTCTCGTGATTGAAAGTACGGCAGTGCGCCAGGCGCAGTGCAGGATGATCTTCCCCGCTCCGAAACCCGAGACAAGAAACCTGAGGCAAGTACCAAGTGAGGAGCGCGCCGCATGAGTTCAACCGCCTCCTGAACCTCAGAAGGAACGTCCTGCCATACCTGGCTGAAGGTCCCTGGACCACTTTCCTCTTGGGGGGCTCCTTTCACAGCCAATGGGGGTGTCTCAAACTAAGGGGTTCCCCAAAATGGGTGGTGTTCCTGTCAACTCCCTTTAAATGAACTCCAAAAAGAGTACCCTCAAAAAATGATAATTTCCTCAATGGCATTAAGGTATTCATCGGAGTCTGAATGGTCACAATAAGATCTCCGTCGGGTCCGCTTTCTGATTGTATATCACACAGAAGTAAGTTCGATCTTGACCTATGCCGCTGAGAAGGAGGCTGCGGCAAACAAGCGCGACGGCAACCAAGCACAGAAGCCGTAAAATGTTGGTAAGCAACTGTGCTTAGCAAGACACGCATGCTGCTTGAAACACTGCGAAACATAAAAGCTGCAGCAAACAGCAAGTCTTCATTCTCAACACATTTGTCACCTGGGTGAAAGTAGATGGCACAATATCCTTTGCACAAGTACAAGCGATGATGAAACCAAACAGGGAAATCGTGACATCTACAGAGGTCAAGTCTTTCCCCATTAAGAGTTGCAGTTTGCTGGTTGCTGGTGGGTTCCAACAAAATTGCCACTTTAGGTCCAAAGAAACTGCAAAATGAGACACTCGTGATCTGCTTGCATCGAAACGTCCAGAACGTCGTGACTCCGGGGCTCCGAACACAGCATACCCAGGCCGTGGGGCAAAAGCACAGCTTCCCTTCGCAGCCCTCGCACCAGCCCCTGACGTGAGACAGCACCACTGCATTGCCACCATCAAGTTTCCAATGCAAAGAATCAAGAGGACGGCACCTGTACACAGTTGGGACTGTTCCTTACCAATCTGCACTAACCTGGGTGCTGATTGTCGCTCATTTGAACATGGGAATGGGAACCCAGAAGCAGTTCACCCCCTGTCTGATTTCTAGGGGGTGGCCCTTGAGAGTGGGCCCTTCTCTTTTCGGGCAACCACATTCTTAATGTTCCAATAAGGTTTATATAGGCCTCGCTCTAAACCCCAGGAAGCCATGTAGTAGAAACACCTAGTACTAAAATGGCCAAGGGACTTTGTTGGGCGCTGCTTGTGGGCTGATGGGTAGACTTTGCAGCTCTGTCTCGCGGCAAAGTGGAAAGGGTCGGCGCAATGCAAGAAGACGCAGGCATCATGGAGTCTTGGTCTGCTCGCAGGATAACAGCTGAAATCTGAAAAACCGCTGTCCATCTCTCTTCTTGTTGCAACATGACTTTTGTCATAGATGTCCACTAAGACCTGCGCACTGCCCGGATCTCTTCATGGGGAGGACCTTTCTGGGATAGGGGTGCCCCATTCTGCCTCTGACAAAGCTGGACGCAGGCCGCGGTTGGCTTTAGCTTCAGCTTAGCGCATGGAAGTCGCCTTGGAAGAAGTATGCACTACGCTCATACTTGGGGAGATTGTCCAAGATATGTCCCTTGTCGGACCTTGGCACTGCCTTGTGCCGCAGGGAACGCCGCCCCGAAGAGAAACAACCGTGTGCCCTTGCACACGCTGCGAGCCGTGAACCGCTGGTCAGGGGAACATCCGAATTTCGGAACTTCAATGACTAAACCTCGCAATGAGCTCCCATGTCTCATGCCTCCAACCGAACACGTGTTCTGACGGCATGCAAAGTCGTGAAGGTAACATCCAATGCAAGAAGGTGCCATGGGAGAGGGGAGCCATGATCTCCCACCTGCTTTTGTGAATTGCAGTCAGGCTGACTCTGGCCTCTTCTTGGCTACTTCGGTGGGGATCACTGCGTCGTCCTCGCAGATAAGCGTAAACCTCGGTGCAGCCAGTATCTGTTGCCATTCACCCCAAATCCGGCAGGCTTCACTAATCAAAAGAAGTTTAGAAGGAAGTTCCTCAGAGGAAGTCTAGAAGGGAGAAGAGGCTGTGGTGAGAAAACAAAGATGAGAGCGGAAGGAGAAGAGAAGAGAAAGAAGAAAAGAATAGATAGGTAAAGAGAAGAGGTGACAGGCGCAGCACGTTGTTGGATTGGCGATCAGATTTCATGACAGGCACAGCACTGGTCAGGGAGAGATTTCGTGACACGCACACAGCACATGTGCAGAGTCAGGCACACATTGTGTGACAGGCGCAGCACTTTCGCAATGTTGGAACGCGCTGAATCCCAATGACACAGACTCGCACACTGTCACGTGCCGATATCGTGGCAGGCGAACTTTCACTCAGTCAGTCACTCAGTCATTCAGTCACTCAGTCACTCAGTCAGCCAGCCAGCCAGTCAGCCGATCAGCGATCAGTGAATCGACCAATCAACCAATCTTGCCGTCAAAGGACGGACCCTATGAAGTCCAGTAAATCGAGCAATCAACCTGCAACGCAATCCAACTGAAATTAATCCAGATCATCCTCATACACACCAAACACACTACGTTAAAGCAGCCAATTTCAACAAGTCAAAACAACACTCCTCAAATCAAACAACATCGCGCAACTCCAGCAGATTGGACAGCTTCCACTAGTGACTCAGACGCCAAGCCCGAACGGTTAAACGGCTTGAGCAGTTGGTCAAGGAAATAATTGCGGGTTGAGCAGTATATTCTCGTGTTCTTTCTACCTCAACTTGCAACACCATCATTCAACAATCATGGAAGTGGACAGGGGGGAATCAGCCTTCAGTTCTCGACTTCAAAAAATCTCCTGCTGGGGATGGGTGGGGAAGCTACGTTTGTGGCTTGGTCCCAACGGCGAGCCCTCGGCGTTTTGGCCGCTTCCAAGGGGCTCGTGACCGTCCAGCGCGGACTTCACCAAGGCCCTCAAGTGACCTGCCAGGGGTGCTGCATCCCATCAAGAACCACGGGCGTCCAAAGGGGGCATGTGTCAAATACAGAGTCGGATTTGCTCACCCCCCACACACAGAGGGTAAACGCTCACTTGATGCCCACCACGGTCGGTCTACAGTTGGTTTAGGGTGTTGGTTAAGGGTGGGTTTAGGGTAGGTTAGGCAAGTTTAGGAATGCTTTAGCGCTTGTTTAGTGTGGGCTTGGGTTCGCGGCGTGATGCGTCGTGCTGCGCCCCGCGGGCTGCGTCGGGGATGCGCGCCAGGGTGCATCTGGACGGTCACTGCTGCGCGCTAGACCGCTTTAGTCAGACCACGTATAGTTTTTCCTGAATGACTCAAGCATTTGTCATCTCCTAGGTGCCTCTTGACATAGCCGTGGCTACAAAGTGAGCTTTCACACGTGGGCGGTAGCCTTTTGGGATTGTTTTAAAGGCAAACCATCTACTCTTGGAGGAGAGACCTCCAAAGACATATGGGAATACAAAGGGCCCCCTTTTTTTCCTGAGTCCTAGGTAAAATCTGGGGGATCCCTTTGCACTTGGCGAAGCAAAAACAGCAGGTAGTCTATTTGGTATACCTTGGGGTCTGTGTTGGCTTGTCAAATACTTTATGTTCACCATCGTTGCTGAAATGGATACACATTGCGATGGGGGACCCGCTGGTGGACATCATTTAGGGGATTACTGTCCACCAGCCACTTGTGAAGTGGTTCCCTATTGAAATTCATCGCATGAAACCCACCGAAGCCCGAAAAAAAAATCACAGACACCGGGGCCACGGCTCATGGCGCAGCTGGTGGCGCCCGGCCAGTTGGTGTCCCGCAAATAGCCTCTCTGAAAAAAAAGGGAAAGCTTGGGGGACAAACCAAGCTTGGGGAGTGTGGGACGCTGTGGAGGCCTGCGTTTTTCAGTGAAGGTCGTGTTTGTTCACGGAAAAAAGAAAGAAAGTGGTTTTCATGTGGTGCAGCGCATTTCAGCGTTCCATTGTTGTTCTAGAAACATAAAGTGTAAGGCTTTCTTTGGTTGGTCTACTTAGCAGAAATAGGTCGCTTTTGAAAATACATGTCTTAATAAACACACGAATTATAGTATGTGAAAAATGCAGGCCTCCACAACGTCCCCTTCTGTGTGTATCTTAAAATAAGGAGTGAAAAAGGGCCAACTAAAAGATAAGTCAGGGGTGTCGTGGAAAATGACCCTTTCTGTGATACCAAGGTTGATTCGTAAGAATATCGTGTCACTTTCAAAAAGATACCATTCACATCACAAAAAGTGGCCCTAAGACCCCACAACCACAGAGACAAAATTACGGGTGTTTCCCCAAACGTACACGGTAAGATTGAGTTTTGCTTGTCCCGATCTTGTTTTAAGGCCGATGCCTTTCGAAAGGATGATTTGTACGGTACTACTAAATGACCTCATGATCAACCAAAACGTGGTTTCCAGTTAAACCAGCAAAAAGGGTGCCAAAAATTGGGGGGGGGGGGGTGTTCCCTGTGGCAAAACGGATTCCTCTTGGCTTCCTTTCTCGTGCCTCACCCAACGAATCGGCTGCTGAGATGAATCGGTGCGTGCGTGCCTGCGAGGTCACCGTCATCTGGATCCACCAGGCGCTCGGCTCCGTGACTCAGGCGACATGGATTGGTCGCACAAGCATTCGCCAAAGAAGGCACGGACTGAAAAAGACGCGCCCAAACGCAAAGAACGGAAGGAAGGAAGAAAGGAAGGAAGCAAGCAAGGAAGGACGGACGGACCGAAGAAAGGGAGGGAGGGAGGAAACCAACACCAAACATGCACGATAGCCAGCAACCCAGAGCAAGCAAGCAAGCAAACCAAGCAAGATGTGAATGAACAATTGTTGAACAAATTACCCAAATGAAACCAAGCAAATCCAAAGCAACAGACCAAACGACCACCTACCTCCCGCCCAACCCAACAACACACAAGACCAATCCATGCACAAACACACCACCACACAGGCCTGCTCGCACGCAAGTGCATGCCCTCAAGCATGCTGGCATCTATCCATACCAGCGAGCCAGTGCCGGCGCGCTAAGGCTCCTGGCTTGTAGTTCTCATTCACATATTCCAGCAGCTCCTCCTCTTCCTGCCAAAGGCATTGGTCTTTATCCAGAAAGGACTGGGCAATCGAGGACACTGCAAATGGTCCTTGCTAAGCAGCAATTTCGTCAACCCTCACTGAGAACCAAACATCAAACAGTAGGCGCAAAATGTGGAAAGCCCGGCTTGATGCCAAGCAAGCTAGTCAGTTCTTGAATTGATTGATTTCATCATTTAAACGAACAACAGGGAAAAAATAAAAACTCGACGTGTTGCTGGTCCTAAAAAACCTCGCCTTTTAAGCAATGCCTTGCTTTGAAAGCCACAATATCAATAATATCGGCTTGGCCAACGTGCTGGTTGCTGCCTCCTGAAAGGCAGAAGTTTGTTTGGGGTCAGGCTGATAAGGGCAACGCGGCTCGAGTGACAAACGCATCGACGCCCTGCACGGGTTCTTTTGCTGAGCAAGAAGCACAACTCTTGGTTGCTGTTGACCCCGCTGCAAAAAGTTCCTTTTGTGGGTCCAATGGATACTCCAATGTTTCCAAGTCCAAAGATCCAACCAAATAGCCTGAGTTACATGTCGTGGGCCGATGTAAGCGGCAGTTGGAAAGGCCACCAGAATCACAGGCAGCCAGCTGTACGGTATGGCAAATCAAAACATGAACAAACGTTTGCTAAATCAAACGGCCCAAGAGGAGAGGACATAATCATTCAATTTGATTTACTCATGGGACAGTGGCACAACCATGAACACTTGCAAAACCTAAGTAGCACAACGGAACAATGGGTCACAGTTCAACGAGTTTCCATGCTCAACTTTTGGTCCGCACTTGCAAACATGGTTGAACATAGCCCCCCTTTCTGCGATACCACACAAAAGCTTCTCCTTACTTCACTTTCAAGGGTTCCCTTGGTGTAGACTACACCCTATGGCCATTTCGCCAATTTCCCGTTCATGTCCCGCGCGGCCTGCACTATCGCCTGGCCTCCGAGTCGAGCGGCTTGTCGGCGCCTTCCTTAGGGATGCGGCGAATTCAACCGCCGGAAACCGAAGTCAAGGGGCGAAGTGGCCGTGACAAAGGCAACGATTTGGTCGCAAAGTTCAACTCAGTTGCCGAAAGGACCTGGAACCAAAAGGTTAACCTTTTGGGGCCATGACTAAATATGGACCAAAATTGGAAAACCAAAAGGTCAAAAGGTCGGCTTTGAACAACTGAGTCAAGCACTCCCAATGCTGCATCTTCAATTCAATGGCCGACACTTGTGATCACAATATTGCACCTCTCAAGAAGCAATGTGACACCAGCGCATGAAGATCTAGTCTGACAGCAAGCTGGCGCGTTTGCCGTTGCCATCACTGTGAAGAAACTGCTTTTGCCGCTTTCCAACCCCTCCGTTTCCACAGCGTAGCATCCCCAAGGTTTCCAACCATACGGTCCATTAGTTGACTTGACCTCGCTGAGGTGTGCTTTGTGAGGCCACCTTTTTGAGGCCACCTTGCTCAATCTGGCTTTTTTTTCCGGAATGGAGTCCCTGGGAATCAGAGCAGAGCAACAAGTTGGGAGTTCCCCGATGTTGACACATACCCAAATCAGCACATGCGCGCACTGCTTCTTGACAAAGGGCTCACTCTGAAAGGTCTGAAGCATGGCCCTTCAAAAAGGCAGCTACTTGGTCATGATCACTTGTGAAACGCCACCAAAAGCGCAACCCCTCTCCGAGCACACCTCAATATGCCGCTCCATCCTGTGCATGAATGTCAACCACAGACAGGACATCTCTTAGAGCCAGAAAACACATACGTATGTTATCTTTTGTATGGCCAATTGGGTAAACCACAACCTTTTCCCAAAGTAAAACCTGTGCAACAAAAGAAACAGGACACACCCACCGATCACCGACGCCTTCGCCCAGTGCTTTGAGGTGCCGACATAGCGCCGAAACTCTGCCCAGAGGTCTCCGAAGAAGCAGGGCAAACGCCCATACTGCAGGCGAAGCTTCTGGTGGTGGTGCATTGTTGACAATGGAAATCCCTCTTGGTAGATCCCATTTGTTTGGCGTTCTTAAGAGAACACGGTCTTCCTGAAGGTGTATTTGTGCTTTGTGTCCGTGTCAATTTTCTTGGGAGGCGTTCCAGGGTTAACCTTTTGGGACCGGCAGTTGGGTTCCCCGCTTTTGTCGGGAAGGGAGGAACTGACCCCAAGCTCACCCCGCCTGCTCGAGGGCATCCCGCTCGCAGTAGCAGGAGGCCCTCAAGACCTCCACCTCGAAGCCTGGAATCCGAATGGGAACGTGGCAAACATTCTAGGGGTGCCTTCCCCATTCTTTCCAGGGATCCTTCTTTCTAGAAAACCTCCGGAAACCCAGGGAAAACGGCCGGTCTTTGGAAACGATGGTTGAAAACAATGGGGAATCAACCCTAGACATATGGGGAAAAAAGTGGGCAGCAAATCAGAGCTCCAATAAAACGGCGGCATTAAAAGAAAAACCAGCACTGGACCTTCAACAAAACGGCGACAAAAAATAGGGAAACCAGTTTGGTGACAAGGCACAAGGCCCTCAACACGGGCGTTGAAAACGGAGATTTCCAGCAAGTTGGCCCTGCCAAGCCGGTGCCTAGCTCTGTGCCCATAGATTGGATAGGGGTGCAAATACCCAACGATGCGGATCAGCTGCCATGGTTTAGCCCACGCCAAATAGCCACACGTCTGCATGAATTCGCTTTCCATGCATGATCATCCACCACAAATCCCGTGCCCCGGCCCTCTTCTAGCCTCAATTTTCCGAAAGGAATGATCTTCATAATAACCCACACCCACACCCACCCACACCCGCACCCACACCCATCAACACACACACACACACCACACCACACCACACCACACCACACCACACCACACCACACCACACCACACCACACCACACCACACCACACCACACCTCCACGGGTGTGGGGGTGGGTGCGGGTGTGGGAGTGGGGTGGGGGTGGATAAGTGGGTGCTTGGACAAACATGCAAATCGCGTTCCATCAGCATGTGTGTTACATCAGTGCACAAAAGCCACGCGCTCTTCGGGTCGAGCCCTGAGAACCTTCAGGCCTATAGTTTTTTGACCGCGACAATTCATGTGACGCTGTCGTCCAATTTGCTCCCCACACCTTTTGCATGCTTCAAGCCACCTTTTGCAGCCGGTCCCTCGATCCTGCGTGGCGCAGTGCCGCCAGGGACGCGGGGGAACCCACCAGGGGTTCCACCCTTCGGTCCGCTCGGTGCGCCAAAGTGATGACAACCACCTGGAGTCGGTGGCTCGGTTGAGTGGGTGGAACCCCTGAAATTCTTGCAGGTAGTAGTTGAGTGGAAACCTGCTTGGGCAATCTTGTCTGACTGGCTCTGAATCCGCACTCACTACTATATATAACTCACACACAGCGGGGAGGCGTTGGACTATTGTTGACTGATTGTGACTAATGGGGGCCACTAAGGATCAATGGCGACCGAGACACAATCATTCCTCATTCCGGTCAATGTGTCTAACACATGTTATGGATTACCTCGTCCACGAAACAACCATGACCTTCTCATGGCTTGGCTCTGAATCAGCATTAAACACTGGCTGATGGTAATGGGCAACTTGCGCCGACAAAATGTGATGCACCGTGGTTGGATTCACCTTGTGCAAGTCACCATGTGCCTCAAGAGCCAGCAGTTGAGCCGTATTTGGCCTCAGCACAAGACTATGTCACTGAATGCCACTGATCCGGAAGCTGAAAGGGTCCTGTAGCACCTCAGATGCACCCCGCAGGAAGGATCCTTGCCATGAACCAAAGACTTGATGGCTCAACCAAAGTTGCTTGTCAAGCAGCAGCATCCTTTCGCAGGGCTTGATTTTCGAACATCGAACCCGCCTCTCTCTCTCTCTCTCTCTCTCTCCTCTGCCGATGCATTGTAAACCTCTGTGTCACCTCAAAATTGGGCCACTCGTTGATCAAGCTTTCCGGGAAAACAGGGCAGCGCGCCTTGATACCGTCGTGCATCCTGGCAGGCTCCACGGGCCAAGAATGAATAATCCGTGCATGCAGCTCTCCCAATTTTATGGCGAGCTTGGGGTTCACCATAAAGTCCTTTTTTGGGGGATCCAATTCTGCTTTCGGGTTTTGGATTTATTCCGAAAATCGCAGATGTTTGGCTTTGCACATGTCATAGACATCAAAATAAGCAAATGATCCAGCAAGCACAACGTCAAGCTCGCTCTGAGCCTGTTTCAGGGTCCATGTTGAAAACATGGGCTTGGATGCAACAATGCGTACTGTTTGCCTTCCTCTTTGCAGGCTCCATCCAAGGCTCTGACAACTCACCAACGGCTAGGAATTAGATTGGACAATGATTTTGGACAACCCCAGTTCTCAAGTGGTTTTCCCTTTGCGCCCAGACCCAACATAGAAAAATAATGATCCTGAAAAAGGTAGACCCGTGTTGATCAGTGGCGTGTCACCTCAAAGCTCTGCCTCTTGGACCGCAGCAGCGGGCGCGGCAGTGGTGGCGCCGGGCGGGCGCTGGGCCGGTCTGGGCGGCTTCTAAGACATCGGGGTGGGGCCAACCCATTGTTTCAACATGTTTCAAGCATTATTGTTTAAGCTTTAAACCTCCTTTTGGATACCCAAGAAAACCCAGGATATGGTTGAAGACGTGTTGCCTCTCCACTTCTCCTAACAGCTTCTCGCCAAAGAAAAACAAACTCGCCTGTACACCAAATTGTGTGTGTCACGACGCGTGAGCTGGGATAGTGTCCAGCTCAAACGGGTGTGTGACGAATTTGTTCGGCGAATCCAAGCATGAATAGAAACGCGCGCAACCCCTGAATTCCATCGGGATGATTGCCCCCTTTTGATCGCACAGTGCGCTATGCCATTTCACCTCTCCTTTGACCCAACGATTCGCATGGGCGCCCCGTCGCGTCAGCAGCCCTGCACACGCCACCGGACCGGGGTGGATGGCCTGGCAACCCTTGCCAGGAGTCACTTGAGTACTCACCACGTAGGAAATTTGTCAGCATGTCAGTCTGTCTGGTTGCTTCTCCTCATGTCTATCTCTGCCTGTTTGCCTGCCTGCCTGCCTGCCTGCCTGCCTGCCTGCCTGCCTGCCTGCCTGCCTGCCTGCCTGCCTGCCTGCCTGCCTGCCTGCCTGCCTGCCTGCCTGCCTGCCTGCCTGCCTGCCTGCCTGTTCGTTTGCTTTCTTGCTTCACTTCGGTTCGCTATTATGCCTTGCCTTGCTTAGATCTGCAATGTTTTTTGTTGCTATGATGTGTCGCATTGTGTCGAGGTTGTTCAATGCTGCCGCGCTGAGATTAGTTTTAGTGCTTGGTATTGATTGTGCTCGTGTGTGTTGCATGTATTGCGCTTGTCTGGGTCCATTGTGGTGTGTTGTGTGATGCCTGACCTTGTTGATTTCAGTGTTGCGTCGTGTCATGCGATGTTATGCTTCTGATGAGTTTGATGCGCTGCGTGGTCCTGCTCAATCGTGCTTGTTTGTTGCTTGGCCGAAAGCATTGTGAACGGCTCTTCTGCTAAGATCGCCTGCTTCTTGCGCAGAGAGACAACGCGCAGCAGACAGATTGCAGAAGACTTGACCTGAAGATCGAGCCATCGGACAGGCAGGGCGGCGCAGATTCTGGTTCAGAGAGACAGTGACAAATGTGGCAGAGAAGTTGCACTGAGTTTGCGTGTCAGCAAACACATCAAATGACATACAGAATTACGCAGAGAGCTGAACAGAGATCTTAGTCCGTGATTATACATGAAGTATCACGTTGAAAACTTTCGAGAGTTGCGCCGAGATCTTGCTCTGTCACATGTGAGAGTACCTTGAGATGGCACAAAGAGTTGCGCAGAGACTTTACGATGTGTTTACACATGCTATATCGCGTGAAGGATTTTTTTGCGTACGAGCGCAAAACATGAGACTGCGCAAAGCTGTGGAGCTAGAGTTTAAGCTGGCAATTAAAGGTCTTAAGGCGACGCTTCAGGACCGAACGTTCTCAGCGAAATCGCTTCCCTCTATGGGGACCGGCATGATTGATGTGCAAAAACTGAGCGCTTTGCAACTTTTTGCGGGTCCCACAGGACCCTCTGCGGCGTGGTCGATTTGCAAAAACTGGGGCGCTGTGCAACTTTTCAACATCGCAACGCGACCCTCTTCGGGGATCAGCATGGACGATGTGCAAAAACTGCAGTGTTTGATGATTTTGTGCTCAAGGATTAGTTTTTGAAAGGAGTGACGGATCGACGTGGCCCGCGGTGTGTTCTGGCCCGGCAGGCTCTCCAAGCTAAAATCATAACTTTTCAATGCAGAAGTAGTACGCGAAGTATCGCGAAGTTGAGTATCGCAGCTGTTCAGTACAAAGGCCGTACGCGAAGCCTCCCACAGCTCCAGCTCGAAGATCTTAATTTAGTACGAACGTTTTGCGCAGTAGAGAGGCTTGCACCAAGATGCTGCCAGAAAGACGCAAGCAACAGAAAACTTGCGCGTACATAGTCGTACAAATAACTTGCGCACAGAAACTTTCGCAGAGAACTTGCACAAAGAAATTAGCACCGAGAGCTTGCGCGCAGAGTGAAACAGAAGTTGCGATCAAAAGATCAGTTGCTTTCTTGTGCAGAGAGACGTCAAACAGAGCAACACGGACTCTTGCATAGAGAAACTTCTGTGGTTTTTGCGCGGCTCTCTGTGGTTGTTGGGGCATTCTGAGCTGCTGAGCAAGACCCGGTTGCGCAGCGAGTGCGTGCGCGGCATGATTCCAGGTATTGCGTGTTGGCTCGTGCGCGCACTCGTGCTTTTGAATGTTTGCTCATGTGCGCCAGGTTCATCAACAACCGCGGCACTCCTATCCGAAACATCTGCCTTGGCCAGGCTGCACAGCTGCGCAATCATCTGCTGGGCACTGGGCTGAACCTGCAAGATCCGGAGGCAGGCTGGTTACGCCAGTTTGGACTCAGTGGCCGAAAATATTCAACGTCTTTTGTTTACATGCGGAACATAAGTGGCTCCAGACAGCGGCACCTCAAAAAGACCACATGCAGCAGAATCCAAACGATTTGGATTCTCAACGTCGGCATCCAAGGTCATGGTGTGAGCTATGGCTCTGTTTCGAAGCAGTCAGAAAGAAAGCTGCAAAGCGCTGATCTAGCTCCCTCTGAAAATGGCGAACCACTGCATCTTCTGGCTCCAACGAGATTTTTGACATTTGTGTAGCGCACGGTTTGCCGGACTTTCTCTGCACTTCCCCAACTCCTTGTGCGACTCTGTCCAGCATTTAGTTTTGAGGCATGTCGGGTTTGTGGAGGCTCTGCAATCCCCGACTCAAAGCGAAGCAAGCTTCACGCAGCTTCGATTGCCAGTCTTTTCCCTCAGAGCCGCAAATCTAGGGGAGAAATATTGCCCCCAAGTTTCTTCCCGAAAATCCTAAAGATGCGAAGCCAACACAAAGCCGAGCCATACGCTTTCAGTACGTTTTACCTTGGCCTTGCATGCAATGCAAACAAGAACAAGTTGATTTGGTGGAACTCGTGGGAAACCGCGCCAAGGAGCAATTCCTGTGCGAACTTGCGACTCAAAGTTGGGGCTTGGACACTAGCTGTTTGAGGACAGTGTGGCAACCGCAACCCCAAAGAAACACCCAACATGGGGCATCCAAGTTGTCCACGGAGAGATTGCAATTCTGCGGTAGAAACGTGATCTGTTTGGAACCAAACGACGAGATTCATGAACGAGTTTCAACACAAGCAGAATTACACAATTCCCAAGACATAGAGGTATGTGTCACAATAGGGGGACCCCAAAATGAAACCGCTGGTCTCCCTTCCAACCTGAAAAGGGTACCTAGTACCCTCGAAGAAACACACACACACACAAAGACACAGACACACACACACACACACACACACATATTTAGAATGGGAAGAAACCGTGCGCACCTAAAATGACCGTGCAAGAAAGGAGAGCGATAGACATTTGCCAACCTTAAATGCCAACACGAGCAAATGAGATGAAGATGATGCGCATGATGCGTATGATGCTGCTGATATCAACACGTGCCGCGGGCTCTGCCTGGTTGTCGCAACTGCGCAGCTCGTGCAACAGCCGTGGTGACAGCGCATAGCCTCCGTGGCCAAGGGCTGAGGGCTGGGTCGCCGAAGCGGCGGTTGCTTAGGGCAAGTGTTGATGTTGAGGCTGCGATCCCTTCACGAAAAGTGTGTTGAGGTTGGTTTTGAGATTGATTAAGTTTGTTTAAGGTTGACGGCTTTTGTTGAGTGGAATTTGGGCGGTGTTGATTTTAGGGCTGCTTCAGAATTGGTCAAGGGTTGGCTGGGCATTGGTCGTTGCAGAAATAGCTCCAAGCTACATTGAGGGGGTTATCTAGCAGGAGACTACCAATTGAGCACCTTCCGTCAGAGCGCGAACAAGTAAGAATTGAATGAAACACAAGTAGATCCTGGGATCTCTTTCTCTCTCGCTCAGGCCACTATTCGGGCAGAAGGATGGTTGGACGGTTGGATGTTCAATGCAGGAACTTATCAGCACTGCAATTCCTCGAAGATTCCTAAGTCCGCTGATTCCCATTGGAAATGAAGGAAGTCGCACGGGGAGCGCGAACAAAAAAGAAGCAATGAGAGGAAAACGTCATCTAAGTCTTATTAAATACCTCCGGCTGTATGCATTTCAGCCGGGAACAAGCTACCAAGGATGCGGATTCCTCCATGAAGTGTTTGGAAGACATCGACGGCCTCGGCCGGATATTAGGTCACAGTGAGATCCATCTTGGTAAAATACTTTGATTTGCACAAACAGGAAATAGGGAATCTCCAAGAAACCTTGAGCAGTTGCTTGGGTCTGGACCATGCCACATGAACAGTTACATTCGTGGGGGATTCTGACTGCACCGCACATGGCGAGCACATGCAAACAACCAGCATCTGGTCCGCTCCGTCTGTGCAATGGGCTGCGGTGTCACCTGTCAAATCCCATCAAGAGAACGCCTATGTTCGTCCGGGAAAACACGGTGCAAACACGTGCACCGTCTCCGACTCCTCCAATCCAAGTTCTCCTGCCTTCGGTTCCGCCAGGCCTCAAAGCGAAAGTGCGAGCGCGGAGGATGGATGGGCGCGACCGGGGGAGGTTTGCTGCAAGACGCATTTTAACCGCCTGCATGTGTGTTCTCCGCACAATGAGGGAGCTGCACGCTACAAATCTCAGTGCCCTTTGCAAGACGCATTTTAGAAGCCTGCGCAATCCAGGCCAGCCCCAGCTGAGCTCGCTCGCTGGCGAGGTGTCGCATGTGTGGTGTCATCTACAAGCCCACGGTGGCATTCATCGTATGCTGCCTCCCCTCATACGTCCATGGAAGCGCCAACCCCTTAAGCATTTCCGATTGCAGTGGCCCGGTCTAAGTAAATCGCAGCCATTCCAAAACGATCCAACGAGCCCGAAGCCGCTGGGTCCCCGGCTCGCCCAGAAGCAGCAGGGGCGAAGCTGGTGCAGCCAGCAGCTGGGGCAGTGAGCCACGCGCGCACGCAGGCGCCGTGGTTCTTGTTTGAGAAGCAGCAATTCCGTGTTTTTCTTGGACGCTGAGTTGGTTCTTCCCAGATTCTTACTCTTCAATTGAAGTGCTTGTGATTGTCAGGTTCATGCATCCTATGAATAAATATTCCAACAAGAAAAACTCACTCACTCGATCACACAATCACTTGATCACTGAATCAACCAACCAACCCTTGCTATACATGCAATCCAATCCAATCCAATCCCATGAATCGACCAATGAATCGATCTAAGTCAATTCGATCCAATCCAATCGAATAAAATCAAAACAGCCATATCAATCCAACCCAAACCAATCAAATCAATCGGCGAAAACAAACTAAATCAATCAATCAAAAAGAACGGGAATATGTGTTTAAAACCAAAAAAAACTCAACAAACCAGCTAGCCAGCAAACAAGCAAATCAAACAAATCAGGCAGCCAGCAAACAAACACATCAGACAGTCAGACAGCACGACTGCCAAAAAAACAGACAGGCGGACTAACAGAATAAACAAGCAAACAACCAACCAAAGCAAAACAAAACACAACTAGCAAATAAAAAAAGAAGAAAAAAAACAAGCAAACAAGCAAGCAAACAAACAAGCAAGCAATCAAGCAAGCAAGCAGGCAAGCAAGAAGGCAAGCAAGCAAACAAGCGAGCAAGAAGCCAAGAAGTCAACAAGCCAAGAAGCCAAGAAGCCAAGAAGCCAAGAAGACAAGAAACCAAGAAACCAAGCAAAATCAAGGAAGCCATGGATGCAGGATAAAGTCTACAGACCATGACCAAGGCACCTTGGATTTGCTGGGACTTCACATTGCAAATCAAGCAGCATCATTTCTTGAAACATGGTGTTTGTGCAACATGCTGCAACATCCCACCAATCAAATTGCCTGGAATGACAAGGTGGACATAGGTCTCGCTTAGAAAGGGGGGATCGTTTCCTTGTGGCTGCCCTTTAAACACCAATCGAAGGGAAGGGGTTCACTATTTTGCAACACCCCCGTACAGGTCTTGGTTGCAAAGTCGGGGTTTCCCCTCAAATCAGTGGTGCCCTTTTGTATTTTTTCTGTCTTGTAACCGACCCAAAACCGTGTCCCAAAACAAGAGACCCATCAAGGCGGGCGACGCCTGCTTGGCCCAAAGCAAGGGGCAGGGCTCCCCATCCACGAGCTGCATCCTCTCGGGTGGCTAGGGTACGGGTTCAATCCAATGTTTTGCAGGTTGTCCATTGGGAAGGCTTGTTCGATCTGTTCAATTTTTACAGCCATGGGTATTGGAATACGTGGTAGTCTAGCTTGGAGGCATATACCTTAGGAGCAGAAATAGAAACTAAAGTATGCCTTATAGTTATGCTGTTCTTCTGGGGAAACCAAGTTCTTGGGGCGTTTGGTTATAGCAAACACCAGGGTTTGGCGATTCCACTTCTTGTTTCAACATGGCAAATTTGACGGTGCCCCACGTGGTTCGACCAGTTTCGCCAGGAAGGTCTTGGCTGTTCGTTCTCTGGTGAGCTGTCCGAGTCATGGGGGCAGAGGAGTGGAGGGGAAGAAGGTCTGTCTGAAGTGAGATCAAGAATGCAGACAAGCTGTGCGAATGAAAGAACTGAACAGCCCACTCTACACCGAAGCCAGACGCCATAGGCATCGGCGCTCGCAAAATCCCGCAAGGATCGTAGAAACCTTCCCCCCATTGTGAGATGATAGTAGCCCTTTGGTCATGTTAGAGGGACCCCCCAAAGTGAACCCCTCCTTCCCCCCCCTTGGACTCAGTACCTCCCAATCGCTCTGCCGGGGCACTGGCACCACCTCTCTGGGATAAAGGCATCCGCGCTGATCACCAGAACGCTTTGGCTCTCCTGGACGGTCGGACGCGTGGAAAAAAATCAACGCCCGCCCCCCCAAAAAACAAACGACTCGACCAGTGTTCTTGGGCCGTAAGATGCTGCCTGAAGGCACCACATGGTGAAGTGTGGGTCAAAAACAAATTGGCTCGTCGCCCTTGTAGGCAACAAGAAAGAATCAGGTGCAGGATTTCAAGGAGAATCCCGGCTGCCCTTCGGTCGTGGGGTCCAACCCCGCATAAGGTTTGGGCTAAGCCATTCCCCAACAAAGCCGTACCTTTCGGGGGTGAAGGCACCGATGTTCTTCGGGCTGCTCCAAAGACCGGGGGAGGGTAAACAATCCCTCTTTCTATAAAATGCCCCAATGTCAGCTGTGTTCAGAGCGCTCCCCAAAGTTAGTGTCAAACGTACCCGAGACAGGACTGTGGTGACCTTGTCAAGCTTTGGGGGTTGATTCGTCAGCACTACTCTCTTTTGAACAATCATGGCTTGAAGAGTTGAGTCACTCTGGGCCTGTTTCACGCCGAGAAGAGGGTCTGTCTCAAAAATAGGGCTTGAACCCCGTTTCAAAGGGCTTCAAAGCGAAGACGAGACCGGCCATGTTGTGGGGTGTGATTGGGAAACACCCTCCCAACTGTCTGTTGACCGGTTCCGCTGGAAAATGATGGGGAGCAAAATGATTTGCCAGTGGAAGCCATCATCTTCAACGGACATTTGTTGCTTGAGCCCCCATTCCAGAGTCGAAGGGAGCTTAAAAAGCGACCGGAAAGGGGAGCCCGGGTCCTTAACACGGAAAGTGGCTGTAGCTACTCCCACACCCCCGCGCTTCTCAGCAAACCCCCCGGCCGCCGCCCGCCGCTTCGCCCCGGCCGCTCCGGCGGCTCCGTCGCTTCCGCCGCCTCCGCCCAGGCCAGGCGCTGAGACAGCGCCGCCGCCGCCGTTTCCGCGGAAGCCGCGGGCGCCGCCAGCTGAAAGGCGGCGGTCCTGGCGAGGCGTGTCCGGTCGAGGGAAAGGGTGGTGACTGGGCCCAAGAAAGGCTGGAAAGACTGGGAAATTTCATGTGGCCAAAGGCCCTTTTTAGACTTTGGAGCACTTTGAAAGGGGAATCAATGGGGGAATCACATGAAAAGGGAGTTGGTGCCATTTGCCTTGTTGGGTTGCAACACCGTTGGAAGAAATGTGGATGCTTCCAATGGGCATTGCGCCTCGGAGGAAAAGCTCTTCCGGTGTGGCTCAAATTTCGGGGTCCAACATGGAAGCCTGGCACATGGACAGCACTAAAACCTGCGCATAACCCCAGTTCTTGTTTCTTTGAGCCACATGGGGCAATTTGCGTGTTGTTTCTGTCTTGAGCTCCCTTGGGCCTGTGAGCCTTTTGCTTTCGACTCCTCGGAGATCAGTTGCCCCAGGCTGTCCCTTCGGAGGAAGCCGCTCCCCTCCGCGGGCTTGGGGCGATTAAACAGCTTTCTCAGAATACTCGTGGCTTTTGCCTAAAGGACCGAGACGATTGACGTGGGAACCCTTGAGTGGCCATGAAACTGCAATATTTGATCCTTCTCTCAAAAGAAAAGCTGTTCATTCTTGGGTACCTTTTTTGGTGTAGTCTTGAAGGGGAAAACAAAAAGAGCCCAATCTTTTAAAGGGTTCCCAGATGTTGAGACACACCTCCCATTAAAGGGATGCCAGAAAGCAACTTCACTGCCCTGACCATGTGAACCCGAGGTCGCCTGCGCTTTTCTCTTCTGGTGAAGGCACGCCCTGTCTAAAAGTTGGGAAACATACACGGCTTTTCTTCTTTGATTCCGTCAGCTTTTTGGCTGTGCCCCTCGAAAAGCGCAGCCATTCCCTTTTTTCACTCGTCACTTCCAAGGTGGTCATGTCATGCTTGTATCCAGCTCGCTCCTGCCGCTCTGCATCAATTCCTGGGACTTGCAACAGGAGCCCCTCCGAGACTCAGAATAGCACCCAAACTAAAACGCTTCATGCTACTACTATGGTACTTTCACGAACCAGAAGTGCGGTGTGGCATCCCGAATCCGCTCCCACGCGTCAACATAAGCTAGGGCTGTTGCAGTGATGGACCTTCTGGATTTCAAGGTGGCCATCACATGCGCGCACGCAACTTCAAGATGAAGTTGATCTTCAGCAGCTGGATTGCAAGGCAAACTAGCAATAACACTGTCTCTGAGCGGCCACCTCTAGCAAAAAGTCTGCCAACTGGTTGAAGAACTCTCTTACTGGAGCTTGCAACCTCATTGGACATACCTCCCATCCACCATGGGTCCTGACCGGGTCTTGAAGGCGATTCTCAGGGAATCTGGTGGGTTCCACGTTGGTGGAAGGGCACACGGACTGCATACTGCATATGGTCAGTGCTGCTCTTTGCAGTTGGACGTGGAAGTGTTGCAAACCCAAGGTGCCGCGCTTGACGAGGCTGGCCAAGGCTTTGCATGGCAACTTGCACAGGGCTCACCCCAAGACGCAGCCTGCGCAAACAAAACCAGGCCAAAATTGGCTGAAGCCCAAGGCTTCAATGTGCTGCAGCCGAGCCTTCATTGTTGCAAACAACTTGTCATGCGGCGCTGCCCGCGTAACGCCTCTCTGCGCACACGATACCGCTTGCGCAAGACCGGTTCGTCACCAACGTAAATGGGCCGAGCGTCAGAGACGAAGCCCTCTTCCTTGAGGCGGCGCCCTTGGCAAAGGCAACACACCCGCAGCACCTGCGAGGCTGGAGGCAGCTTCGTGTGAGCTTGGCTGGGCTTCGAACAAGTCGAGCAAAAATGGGTTTGTTGCGAATGAACAAGGTCCGACTTGCAATCCCGCCGGCATGGACTTCTTTCATGATCTCGCTTGAAAAGCTGTTGGGTCATTTGCTCCCATCCGTCTCAAAGGTACAAGAGAATCCAGCTGTGTGTCCTTGTGTGAACAAAATGACAGCCGTCTTAAATCAGGGTGCTTTTGGAAAAGGAGTCTGTGGTTCTTCAGACTAGAAAGAATTAAAGCAGTGCACTCGGAAAGGGGACGGCAACCTCTCCACGTGTTGTGAAAAAAAGAAAATGCAACATTGCCTGCTGGATGAAGAGAAGTTTCATCTACCCTACCAGGAGTGGGCCAGACGTGCTTAAGCAACCGGACCCTGATTGATCCCCTTGAAAGGCAAGCCCAACGGAGCTTGTTTCAAGAATAGGTCGTAACATGATAATATTGAATGTGTCCTAGGCGCCAGCTTCACCAGAACCAGCCACACAAAACAAACAGAAGACAACTCTACACAGCGAGTGGCAGCTTTTGACCTTTTGGTTGGATGTTGTACCCTCGGGTCGTGTTGAGGGTAGCCAGAGAGGAAGCGCGCATGGGACCCGGTCATTTAGGATCTGTTGTCCTTTGAACACTCAGTTTGGTTGAAGACAAATGAACTTGCTGGTTTCTCCTTGGAGACAACCCGACCTCACCCTCCGCTGAGCGGACAAGGTTACTTGCTTCCCCCAAAGGATACAAACAAAGGAGAATTGGGGTGCTGCCCCATGCCCTCCGCCAGGTGGACATTGTTTGTCATTGACAGTTCTGTCCACCAGCCATTTTGAGGGACTTCCACATTTTGTAGACGTCATGGCCATATGAGGATGTGCAACAATAGGTATTCGATTTCCGGGACACCACCCAGAAAAGGGCACCGAGCCAAAAAAAATCACACCCGAAGAAGCCACGATGCGCGACATTACTTGTTTCCCACCATGGGCATGGGAAGAAATCGCGAATCCCCTGGTCTGTGAAAAAATCGTGAGTCCCCCACTCCCCTGAACAACTAGACCATGACATCTGAGGGTGTGCTTTTGGAGGGTACCCCTTTCACCTTGCTTTTACAGGGAGCCCGACGGAAGACCGAAGCCAGTCTTGGATTCCAGAGCCGGTCTTGGCCTGCACCTCCGCCCCTGCGAGCCGCAGCGCTCGCTGCGCGTTCGGGTTCCCAGCGCAAAAGGGCCGCAGCGCCAGATGGGCGCGGTTGGGCACCAACAGCAGTAGCACCCGCCTCACGTTGCACTCGCAGGTCCAACGTAAGCCGTTCTCCCCACCACCCCCCGAGTCCCCAGCCCAGTAAAGGGCAACCAAGCGCTCAACAAGTTCGAGCCTTCTGAGCCTTGTGCTTTGGCCACTTGTTGGATTCGGTGACCCCTGCGGGTTCGATCACCAACTGTTTCTTTCGGATGCAAAAGACACATCACTGTCCTTCGCTGGAACAAAAGAATTGGAACCCTTGGTGAGATTCAGGCTTAACGGAAACAGAAGGGAAAAAAGGGAACAAAACGGCGCCGCTGCCAAATCGATGGGTTTATGGTTGGACTCCGGGTAAAGGAAAAGAAGCCAAACTGCAACAACCCATTTACTCTCCACCAAAACAGGACAGTTCATCAGCGAGACAGCTGTTGCGCGGCATCAAGTGTGCTGGACTCTGCATGTGGCATTGGGTGTGTTTTGCCTGAAGGACATGATGGAACATGTGTGTAACCAGGCAAGCTGAGCAAAAAACATGTCGCGGTCAAACACCTCCCTCCAAGGTCCGTCCAGCCAGGTGTGTTCAACACTGGACCAAAAGTGTCCCTTTCCAATTGTGCCGGGAAATTCACGTTGCAGGAAGTGCGACGCATGCTTGCCAGGGCTTTGCAACGGACAAGGGGTATGCTTCATACAAGTCCCAAGCGATGTCTGAGGGGCTTTGGCATCCCCGTGCCCAGGATGCAAATTGCATCTCCCCCTGCATCCCAAAAGTGTGGCTGACTCCCTAAACCAAACCCAACCCAACCACCCACCCCAAACACAACCAGCCCACCCAACCAACCCACCCTTCACGCCCTGCCCAAAACCGACCCCGCGCTCGCCGCCCCTTGCCGCCCCTTCCGGCGCTGCCTTGGGCGCCCGAGGCCCTGGCTTCCGGTGGGCGTTTTTGACTTTGTCCAGTGGGATCATGGGGGGGGGGAACCTCTTCTCATGTATCAAATGTATCATGTATCAGCCAAAGGGACGCAAATAAGAAAGCAGGCCTGTAATGTCGGCGGCCTGAGCCGGAGGCGTTAAAATATGTATATATATATATAGTATCATATGTATCTGTTCATATGTATCTGCACCTACATATTATAAAATGAGGGGGGGTCCCAATCATCCAATCACTTGGCTTGGCATGCAGCTTGCCAACATGGGAAGCCAAGCCCTCCCCCACGCGGACCCGCTTGGATGCCCTTACATGCGACATGTGCCGTTTTTGAGGAAAGCCTTGCGCTCGACCGTTCGTGCTGTTCTTCCTGCCTGCATGCCTGCCCTCCCTCTCTCCCTCTCTCCCTCTCTCCCTCTCTCCCTCTCTCCCTCTCTCCCTCTCTCCCTCTCTCCCTCTCTCCCTCTCTCCCTCTCTCCCTCTCTCCCTCTCTCCCTCTCTCCCTCTCTCCCTCTCTCCCTCTCTCCCTCTCTCTGCCTTCCTTCCTTCCTTCCTTCCTTCCTTCCTTCCTTCCTTCCTTCCTTCCTTTCTGCCTTCCTTCCGTGCTTCCTTCCTTCCTTCCTTCCTTCCTTCCTTCCTTCCTTCCTTCCTTCCCTTCCTTCCTTCCTTCCTTCCTTCCTTCCTTCCTTCCTTCCTTCCTTCCTTCCTTCCTTCCATGCTTTTCTGCTTGTGTGCTTGCTGCTTCCTCCCTCTGTGCTTGCATGTGTCTCTATGTTATTTCTGTTCTGGCCCCCTTTCCTTCTCTCCTTATTTCCTTCTCTCCTGTTGTCCTTCTCCCCTTATTTCATTCTTTCCTTGTTTCCTTGTTGTCTTATTGCCTTCTGTCTTTATTGACTTATGTTACTGTATGTCATTTATTTATTTATTTATTGATTTATCTAATTATTTATGTATGTATTTATTTGTTTCTTGCTTTCTTGCTTTCTTTCTTTCTTACTTGCTTTTTGTCTTTCTTTTCTTCTTTCCTTCCTTCTTTCCTTATTTCCTTCGTTCTCTCTTGTCTTTTGTCTTTCTTGATTTATCTATTGTTGTACTTATGTTTATTCAATATTTAGGCGCTTCTGTATTCATGTACTTATGTCTTTGTCTTGCTCTTTCGTGGCTATTTTCTTTACCCCGCACTGCACGATGTATCTATTTGGTTATTTCTTGCCTTCCTTCCTGCCTTCGTGTGTTCTGTCTTTCTTTCTGTCTTTCTTTCGTTCTGTCCTTTGTGCGTTCACTCTTTCGTTCCCTCTCGCCTTTCACTATGTTAGTTGTTCTTTCTGTATGGATCTATTGCTATGCTTGTATTTGGTAATTAATGTGATTATCTCTGTACCTATTTACTGGTTTCTTTAGTTGTTCTTACCTTACTTTAGTGATTTCGTATTCCGTTATGTATTTCTTAGTTCGTTCTTCGTGTCGTTCCTTATTTATGCATTTTTGTCTGGCTTTGTTTGCTTATTTATTTCCTTCCTTCTTTCTTTCTTTCTTGTTTCTTTCTTTCGTTCTTTCTTTCTTATTTCTTTCTTATTTATTGATTTCTTTTATTTTCTTTTCTTTTTTCTTTCTTTCTTTCTTTCTTTCTTTCTTTCCTTCATGCTTCTTTTTCTTGCTTCCTTTTTCCTTCCGTCTTTCTGTCACTCTTTCCTTCCTTCCGTCTTTCTGTCACTCTTTCCTTCCTTCCTTCCTTCTGTACTTTTTGCTTCCTTCCTTCCTTCCTTCTGTCCTTCCTTCCTTCCCTCCCTCCCTCCCTCCCTCCCTTCCTTCCGTCCCTCCTTCCTTCCTTTCTTCCTTCCTTCCGTCCTTCCTTCCTTCCTTCCTTCCTTCCTTCCTTCCTTCCTTTCCTTTCCTTTCCTTTCCTTTCCTTTCCTTTCCTTTCCTTTCCTTTCCTTTCCTTCCTTCCTTCCTTCCTTCCTTCCTTCCTTCCTTCCTTCCTTTCTCTCTTTCTTTCTGTTATTTCTTTCTGTTCTTTCTTTCTGTTCTTTCTTTCTTTCTTTCTTTCTTTCTTTCTTTCTTTCTTTCTTTCCTTCTTTTCTCCCTTTCTTTCTCTTCTCTCTTTCTTTCTTTTCTGCCTCTCTCATGTTCTTTCTTTTCTGCCTCTGTCATTTTCTTTCTTTTCTGCCTCTCTCGTTTTCCTTCTTTTCTGCCTCTCTCACTTTCTTTCTTTCCTTCCTTTCTTTATTTCTTTCTTTCTTTCTTTCTTTATTGTTTTATTTCCTTCATTTGTTGTCTGTTATGTTCTTGTCTTGTCGTTCTGTCTTTCTTTACTTATGTCTTTCTTTATTTCTGTCTTGCTTGTTTCCTTTCTGTCTTTCTTCTTTCTTTCGTTATTTCGTTCTTTCATTCTTTCGTTCTTTCGTTCTTTCTTTCTTTCGTTCTTTCTTTATTTCATTCGTTATTTCTTTCTTTCGTTCTTTCTTTCTTTCTTTCTTTCTTTCTTTCTTTCTTTCTGTCTTTCTTTCTTTCATATTTGCTCTATTTCTATATTATTTGTGTGTTCTAGGCGCTTGCTTGGTTGTTTCTGTTTGTTGTGTGTGTTCTTTGTTTGCTTGCTGGCTTGCTGGCTTGTCTTAGTGTGTTTCATTGATGGTATGTATGCATGCATGCATGTATTTCTATGTATTTCTATGTATCTATGTATGTATCTAAATATCTATGTCCCTTGCTCGCTCGCTCACCTGTGAGCTTCCTGTTGTTTGATTCTTGGTTCCTTTGCTTCTTTGCTTGGTTGCTTCTTTGTCTCTTTGCTTCTTTGCTTCTTTGTGTATGCTTCTCTGCCTCCCTGCTTCCCTGTTTCCCCATTTCTTTGCTTCTTTGCTTCTTTGTTTCTTTGTTTCTTTGTCTCTTTGTCTCTTTGCGTCTTTGCTTCTTTGTTTATTTGTCTATTTGATTATTTGCTTCTTTGCTTCTTTGTTTACTTGTTCCTTTTATTTGTTTGTGTTTCTCTGTTTCCCGGCGTCTTTGTTTCTTTGCTTTTTTGCTTCGTTGTTTAGTTGTTTCGTTGTTTGGTTGTTTGATTGTTTCTTTGCTTCCTTGTTTCTATGCTTCTTTGCTTCTTTGTTTCAGTGTTTCCCTGCTCCTTTGTTTCTTTGTTTCTGCTTGTGTCTTTCTTTCTGCGCTTCTTTGTGTCCTTTTGCCTTGATGGTTTCTTTGGTTTTTTGCTTGTTTTGCTTCTTTGCTTCTTTGTTTCTTTGCTTCGCTGTTTCTTGGTATATTTGCTTGATTGTTTCTTTGTTTCTTTGCTTCGTTGCTTTTTCGCTTATGTGTTTATTTGCTTCTTTGTTTTGCTTGTTTGTTTCGTAGTTTCTGTGTTTCTGTGTTGTTGTGTTTCTTTGTTGCTTCGCTTCGTTGTTTCTTTCTTTGCTTCTTTCTTTGTCTGCTTTCTTCCTGCTTGATTGATTGTTTGCTTGCTTCCTTGCTTGTGTGTCTGTTTGCTTGTTTGTTTGTTTGGTTGGTTGGTTGGTTGGTCGGTCAGTCAGTCGGTCGGTTGGTTGGTTGGTTGGCTGCCGTTGTGTGTTGTTGTTTGTTTGCTTATATTTGTGTTTGTGGTTGTGTTTGTGTATGGTTCTTTGCTAGTTTACTTGCTTGCTTGCTTGTTTGTTTGTTTGCTTCTTTGGTTGCTTGCTTGGTTGGTTGGTTGTTTCTGTGGGTGCCCAGCCCATCTAGAAAGCTGAGCTGCGGAACTTTGGAGAAGCGGTCAGGTTTCCCTTGTCAGTGCTCGACTTTGCCGTCCCCTGCCTTCAAGGGCGCTGCATACACCGCCCTGCCATTCATGGTAGCTAGGCATCGCCGCTCATGTCACAGATGTGTGGCATCGCTCGTCAGAAACAGGATGGAGGACGAGGAGAATAATCCGGTGAAGGGAAGTCGTGCCTCTTGCTTGCAAGAAGGCTTGGGATCAATGATAAACCCTCCAAGAAGCAAGGATTGCCACTGATACTTACTTCATGTGAAATCCAATAATGCACAATGTGTGATCACGTCATGCACGTTCTGTTGCAATTGTCTGGGTTTGTCTGCAAGCGGTCTGAGAGTTGCCACGAGCGTTCATGGCCTTCAGAGTACCATGTCTTGGCCTTGAGTGTCAAGTGGCCCCTCAAACATGCAAAAAATGTGGCCAACCGGGCCTGTGCCGTGCAACTGAACCAACACAGTAAGCAACAATGGCAGCAGTCATGGCCGCAATACCTCAAAATCACAGCGATGATGAGAAACGGAACCAGAGCGGCCAAAAGACAATAACAAAAACCGCAACAAACACAAGACATGGACAAAGAGCAACAGCAACAGCAACAAGAACACCGACACCGACGACGACGTCGATGACACCAACTGCTAGTCGTTCTTGATGTTATCATGGCAATGGTTGTTCTTGCTGTTGTTGCTGCTCTTTCTTTTCGCATTTGTGTTGTCGTTAACGATGATGATGATGGTGATGATGATGATGATGATGATGATGATGATGATGATGATGATGATGATGATGATGACGATGACGATGATGACGATGACGATGACGATGACGATGACGATGACGATGATGATGATGATGATGATGATGATGATGATGATGATGATGATGATGATGATGATGGTGATGGTGATGATAATGATGATGATTATATGAATGAGGAAGCGGAGGAGGAGGAGGAGGAGGAGAGGAGAAGAGGAGAAAAGGAGGATGCCAAGTCGATGATGCTACGTCAAGGAAGTTCAGATCGATGTTCATAGCAAGCCAAGCTTCCTGCCGCAGCTCTAGAACAATATTATCAGTGCGGGATAACATCTGCGCCTTGTTGGCGCGCTCTCGTTCGCGTATGCCGTGCAATGCTGTGTTGGGATGGCGTTGCAGTTGAAGCATATTTGTGCGGCCTTGCCAAACCAACAGCTGGTGCAAGATGGGGATGGTGTCACTAGGTGGGTATTAGAGGCCATCCCTTCCAACTGATCCTGTACTGAGGCCTTGCTGGAAGTGTGATGGGTATGTGGTATTTGGCTACTTCCATTCCAACCCAGACCACCCAGCAATAAAACTAGCAAGCCTTCATTGTCCTTTTGGTATGCGACTCATCTCCAGGCTTGCACACTCCTGTGGGCAGCATTTGCACATGGCCTCCCAGCCCCAGACGAGGAACCCGCGGTCCTGTCCTTCAATAAAGCATGTACGTGTTCTTGAATCTCACATTTGCTGCACAGCTTGTTTGAACCTTAAGACAGTTTTCGTGCCTTCCGGGTCCCAGGCACTGGCAACCATCCTCTCTGAGCGCTGGGAATCATCGCCGCTCTCACAACAGAAGCGCTGCTGAATGGCGCAAGGTGAGACGTGGAATCCGCAACCCCCGCACCTGGGCTCGCTCAATCCTGTCCCCTTGGCGCCAAAGTTCGAATCCGCGGGCTCAACCTCGATTGCCTCCAAGGCCTCAAAGGTCAACTCAACGGCAACCACTTTGGCTCAGCTTTGCTTCGCGTGCTGCCGTTGCTTCCTTAGTCAGCCACAGCTGTGACGCATGCCCCTCGATGTTCCATGAGGCTCTAATGCAACAGGAATGTGGTTTTGCTGCACATTCCAACGACGCTGCTCGCATGTATACATGTCATCTGGCCATTTGCAGTGCCACAGTGCCACCTTTCAAGGAAACCAGTTGGGGCAGCTCCAAAATAGGAAATGAGCAACCCCGAAGGCTGCAGTTGAGGTAGTGGTGGTGGTGGTGGTGGTGGTGGTGGTGGTGGTGGTGGTGGCGGTGGTGGTGGCGGCGGTGATGGTGGTGGTGCTTGTGGTGCTTGCGGTGCTTGTGGCGTGCTTGGTGCGCTTGTGCTTGTGCTTGTGGTGCTTGTGGGGGTCGCAGTATTGTAGTGGTTGTGGTGATTTGGGTGACTGTGGCCCACCAGTGTGTTTGTCAAACAGGGCAATTAATCTATGTCGATTTCAAGTTTGGAGTGTGAAACTCGATCATAAATTATGATGTGTTGTGATGAATGCGCCTGACTTGCTGCGAACAAGGGTACGAATGACAGGTGAGAGAGTATACGCCAATAGAGTGACGTTGCCTGCAGCATCGCACATTGCCCGACGCTTGGCTCCCGTGCTCCTTCTTCTGATCCCGCTTGGCGGTCTTCTCCTCTGGGCGTCCCTCCCTATCTCTCTCTCTCTCTCTCTTCCTCTCTTTGTCGCTCTCTCTGTTCAAGGCTAGCACAAAAAGCCAAGGTCAAAGCGACACACCTAGTCACAACCATGTTGGTGTGGCATGACTTCATGTTTGGTCCTTTTTCGTCCACCAGTTTGATATCTCTCTCCGTCTGCCGCGAGATTCTAGCGCTCGCCACAGGCGGACTGTACACCAGAATGCGAGGGCTTGAAGCAAACCATTGGCGTGTCTGTTCAAGGCTCGGTACCCTCGGGGGCTTCCAGGAGGAAAGCCATCGCTTTGGGGTCCCCCTGTTTTAAGACCCACAAAATTGGTGGGGGGGGTTCCTCTGGTTGTCCTTTTGAACATAATGGGGTTTCGTTGTAGGCATCCGTTTTCAAGCTTTCCCTTGCAGACACTCCCCCGAAACGAATTGCTTGGCACCCGCGCCACGAAGGCGGCGTCTTCCCCCACCCCCGCTTCCCCCGCTTTCGGTGCCTCGCACTTTTCGGCCTGGCGCTCCCTCTTCAGATCCATGCGCTGGCGCTTCTGCTCCTCCTAGTCAGTGGAAAGGCGAATGCAACTAGAAATCAAACGAACGGAAGGGAACGCAATGGCATGTATTGGATTGGAATGGCATAGAATGGAATGCTCCAAGCATCCAGAAAGTCTCGCCACAAGTATCCCGACTCACCAGTCATACAAACCGGCTTCATCGTTGTTGCAATTTCTGTCATACAATGTGAGTCGTCCCTATGAGCATCTTGTCACTCTCCAAAAGGGTCCCTAGTTCGATCTGCTTGATCTAAACATGTTGGCCTTAGAACTTCCAGAGCGCTTCAGTTGCCAAGCTGCCCGGCTCTGAAATGACTTAAGAAAGATTCCTCCACAATCTTTCAGCGACTTTGCTATCCGATAGCTTCCTGCCAAGTCATGGCAAGCAACATCGTACAGGCACTGAGTCCTCCTGTGTCCCTCTGCAAAACAAACTCAGCCGTCCTTCTGCTGCTTCTTTGACAGCACGCCGCCTGAGGTTCTCAAACGCAATAGGATCATGGCAATACCAAGTGGTCGGCCAGGTCCACGTGTCCAGTCAAAACTCCCCGATTCATGGTCCAATGGCCATAGTCCCTTTAGTAGAAACCCAAATGATTTGCCCAAAGTCTCTATTCAGGGGCCCATGAGCATCCTAGCGAACGCGGGTAAAAGGGGGTGTTTTGACCAAGGCACATGAATCAATTTCCTCTTGGAGAAACCCTTTTGCTATCAGTGCATGCGCTTGGAAGGGAGGGGTCAAAGGTAGTCTCTGAAAAGGTCAAGGAGCTCGATCCGGGTCTGCGTCAACCAGTGAGGCAAGTGGGTGTCAACGGGCAACCTGTGCTTTTGGTGTCTATCAAGCGCACGGAAAAAATCAGTCACCTGGTTGTTGAAACTTAGAGCTCCTCCACCAAAATCCCTCAGACCATACTGAACATTCGACCGAACCCAGAGCTTTTCCGTGCCTCCCGGGTTCTTCACTTCCACCAAGGTGCCGCCCGGCGCCTTGGATATGCCTGTCGCTTCCCCAAGACGCGAAATGGGAAAAATATAACGCAAGCGCAAACACCCCGACTGTACCAGCAGGCAAGGGAAGGGTCATGCCGATGCAGTGGTCACAAATGGGTATGTGTCAAACTAGGGGGGACCCAAAAAATGGTGTGTACCACGCATCAAGAAATCCATCTCCTGCCTTGCTCGGCCTCTTCTTCCTGCGAAGCACACACACACACACATGTGCGTGCACATATATATTTATATGTATTACACATATATATATATATACACACTATGTATGTGTTACGCAAAATAGTGTTGGCGTGCACGCGAGTTTGTCCGAATGGTGGGACAGGAGCGCTTTCCCTCACGCCCTGCTCAACACGCATGGCAAGCCAACACGCTTCAAGCTGCCGGCCCCGATCGATGCTTTCCTCGCACGAGCGACTCTAGTCATCATGCAGAGGGCATGCAGGGTGAAACTGAGACGCTGGCAGAAGGCGGGCCTCGCCATGTGCGTCTCCAAGCAAACAGAAACTGCGTCTCAGGTTAGCGAAGCTGCGCGATGCCCAAGCTGGCCAATAGCGGGGCTTCCTGCTTCACCGTCAGCGCCATGCTGGACGATCGTCAGGCGGAGGTGGTGGTGGTGGTGGAGGTGGCGGTGGTGCCTCATTGTCCTGGACAAAGGTGGAGGAAAACACGGAGAGACCGGGAAAACGTCATGACAACAGCAACCACCAGGGCTTTGAAGGGAGCAGCAAAGCTGACATGCGCCAATTTGCTGCAGCCATGGTGGTGTTTTGGTAACCAAAAAACGATGCTAAGGGAAGCCGCGGCGCATCCTCATCCGAGGCTTCGTCCTCCTCTCCATTCCTCAGCCATCGCAACTAACGGCGTGCACTTCATCCCTATCCATGAAAAATACAAGACACACAAATTACCATTGGAGGGACAAACCACAAGGGTACTTTACTACAGCAGTATTGGCCAAAAGCCTCGGCACGTGTAGCAACTCAAGCAGAATTGGTGAGACATGAAGGTCCTTTTTGGACCCATGTCGAAGGTGAAACACAACGCAACAATGGTCCAGCCACGATCAGTGCTGCTATTCCTGTTGGAGTTTGTCCTTGTACTTGGGGCAAACTTTCTGGGTCCTTCATGTCCACAAATTCACAATTTTCTGGGGAGAGGTGACTAACTGAGCCTGTTTGGGGTTCGCTTGGCCAGTAGGTCATGCCCTACATAGCTCCCTGAAAGCCACCATGCCATGGTGCTTCGTGCGAAATGGACGCCCGGATTTGACCTTGGGGAAATTGCGATTGTCAGCCATTGATTTGAAGGCGGAACAAGTGGCCGGCAACCCTGGTTGAATCCTACATATCCTGCCCGTTTGAGGGACCCAGAAAATCTCGGCTTCCATCTAAGCCAAATAAAGTACCTTTGGCCTCGAGAAAACAACCACACAAACCAGAGGACGCCTGGCCCGAAAGCATTGATCGATCAGCGCAGCCCCCCCCCCCACCCCACACACCAGGATGCTTCGCGCACACGCACGAAAGCCATGCCCCGCAGAACGTGCCCTGCAAGCCACTTCCACTCCACGCAAGGTGTCTGCGCAAGTTGCTCTGTGCAAGTTGCTCAGCGCAAGTTGCTCTGCGCACCTCTGCGCAAAGTGCTCTGTGCAAGCAGCTTTGTGCAAGTTGCTCTGCGCAAGCTGCTCTGCGCAAGTTGTTCTGTGCAGTTTGCCCTGCAGAAGATGCTGCGTGCACGTTGCTCTATGCAAGTTGCTGCGCAAATTGCACTGTGCGAGTTGTCCTGCGCAAGTTGCTCTGTGCAAGAGTTGTTCTGCGCAAACTGCCGCACGGAAGAACCTTTCGCGATGCTTTCGGGAGAAAAGCACCATCATGCGAGAAACAAATAATACCCCAAGCAACCCCCCCCCCCCGCCCAAGGGCCCCAGAGCGAGGTGCTCGGACGGCTCCGAGGCCGCCTTCTCCGATGGCGCTGCGGATGAGGCAGGGGAGGCGGTCATGCGGGGCCGCTCCCCGCATCGCCGGGCGCGCGAGACCGCCTCGAGGTAGACCATCTTCAAGGCTAGGCCTCAGTCAGCTTCCCTCTGATTGGTGGTTTGGAGCCGAATCGGTGGTTTGGAGGTCTGTTGGAGGAATTCCCATTTACCCTCTGCGAAGGCCAGGGATTCAAATCCCAAACCACCAATCCAAACCACCAACTAAGGGTTACCTGACTAGGGGCAAAGGTTTCTCGCACAAAAACAAACAGAAGGCACTTGCTACAACAAAAAAGTCATGGCTGCCTCTGTGCCCAAAATGCAAAACAATCAACACACAAATTGCTATATAGGGAAAAAACACATCACACACCGTGGTTCCCCGTGCGCCACAGAAGCGGCAACAAAACATATATCACGTTGCACCAACAAAAAGAGCGCGGCTCGCGGCTTCCTTTGCCCCCAAAACGAAACCTGGTCGCAGGTGGGGGGCAAGTTTGGTTGCAGGTGGGTCAGTCTCTTGCCAAGAGGCGTCTCTTACAAAGGTGACCAACGCACATCCCGCAAGTAACCTCTTCAGCCCCATCCCTGGGCAACCCAGAACTGACTAATCCTCAAGCGTCCTGCTCGCAAGTTTACCCGTGGGCTGTGCAAGTACTTCGTCTCTGGCAAAAGCATTGGGCTGCCTCTGAAGTCGGAATCTACGGTTGCATAGGCAAATGGGGCAGGCGATTTGTTGAGAACAAAATGTTGCCCTCTGTCTCACAATCATGGAAGCGGACAGGCGAGGCTTCGAAAGACTACCATCCTCTTGAAAGCGCCGACACGCAAGCATCCCTTCGTTTATGCTGAGCGGCGCATGCGCATGGACTTCACAGGGAGAGTGTCCAGCACAAACTCTGCAAACTGCTCATCGTCCTCGAAGGTCTTCACCAGCACACTCACGGATGTCACACCCTGGCGCGCAGCCCATTTTTGTTGGATCGTGTGGTTTGATCCATCGCATCTTCAAACCGTCAACGCCTGGCCTGAACCAGGCAGTCAAAAAGCTCTCATTTCAACTCGGGCCGGCCAACAAACTAAACTGGCCATCCTTCATATTAAAACAGCCATCAATCAGAAGGGTGCCCTCCCCAGCCCGATGCGCCTGTAGTGGCAGGCATCCTCAAAAGTGTCCTTGTTACCGAGTTCTGCCGGAGAAAACGATGCAGTGAAGCTTTGGCAAAGAATCTGGTTTCAGGTAAAGGGGAGCGCGGTCGAGAGAAATTGGACATGTCGCAATCAGCGCCGTGCTAATTCTCGTGAGCTTGAGTTGGCAAACAAGTAATACACGTTCTCATAAAGGGCTCAAAGCCAAAATTTAGCACTAAGGCCAACATAGGTTGCTCTTCTAAGGGCAAATTAATTATCAACATCACTGTTATCCTTGTGAACACGGCTCCCGGCGCAAATCAAATGTGTCAGATCATGGCGTGGGTTGCCTTGTCTTGCAGCGCACGCAAGACGTTGTCTGGAATCCCGAACTCCTTGGTCAAGTCCGCCAGATCAGCTTGCATCGCCATGGGTCAAATTGAAAATTTACAAGGTTCAGAGCGCTCCTTGTTGGAGGTTGGCTGAGTGAGAGTTCTTCTTCAGTGCTGTTTTTTTTGCACAAGTGGTGAGGATCAAATGACCGCGGACGTGACGTCATTCTTCGACAAGCGACCGCTGCCCCGCTTGAGCACTGGGATGGCGGTCGGCCTCCAGCGAGATCTCCGACTCTGAGCTAAGCATTTGGGCTTGTGTGGAAAAAAAGGACCCGGGAAAATGGTGGTTGTCCCTTGTGTTTCCCTTTTTGCCACGGTGACGCGAACAAAACACATCCAATTAGCATGGAAGGATAATCACATGCCACTACTACAAGCTAATGTGAAGGTGTCAATGGGTTCAGTGGGCTCGAGAAGCAGAACAGGGGCCGGGGAAGCTGCCTGTGCTTGCATGTGAGTTTTCCTGAAGGTATGCTGTCCAGCAACGTCGTGTATCCCGCCACTTACTAAAAGCTAGAGAGCAGCATGAGAGGCAAGCTAATTGCCTAAAGTCATGTAAACTAGACAATGAGTGACCACACAAGCCCTTGTAAGTCCGGTAGGCCATCAGGTTTCTTTCCTGGACAAGGTTTGCGCGGAAGCGCATTAGTACCAAACGCCATCCAACATCTAGCAACAAAACGTTATCTTTTCGCCTGATCTCCAATTGATTGCTCGTCCAGCTTGCTTCCAACTGACAGCAAACATCAGGGTAGCTGATGCATTCATCCTTTGCTTCATCCAGTCCACTCATTCCGTTGCGGCTCCTCCGAGTCTGTGTCAGAGTCGTCGAACCAAACCGTGGCCCGGTCGCTCAGCGGAAGGACGCACCTCAAGTTGGCCCGCTTTGATGGCACACGAGCACGAGACACACTTCTTTGTCAGGATTCGGGATATGGGAGTTTCTCAAAATGGTGGACCCCTTTTAGTTTGGGGATGACAGCTGACTGGTGCCACATGTTGCAAGTTGCGTCCCAGGAATGTCACCATGTGCATCTTTCAAACCAGATGTTGCACCACAGCTTCTTTGTGACCAAGACTGCTGAGTCTGATTCAACAGCAAAGCAGCTGAGAACAGGTTTTGGCATAAATGTCATGCCACGTGATGCCACGGGAGAAGCTCTGTTGCCAATCCAGCATGTCAAGCAGCCAAACTTCACAGCAGAGAAAACCAAAGGACCACCCAGGCAAGATTCGCAGAGCATTCTCTGCGGGTCTGATCGAAGGGTTCTCATTCAACCTTTCTGGGGGCACCTAATGCCTCCCCTTGCAGCAAAAAGTTAGAGAGTCCCCTCTGTCCCTTCCAGTTGGACCATAGACTCGAGAAATTTTGACCAAACCTCATATGACCAAACAAAATTCAACGCGTTCCCCAAAAGGACATTTAAGCGCGCGCGCCCCCCCCCCCACCCGTTTTGTTTTGCTTTTTTCTCGTGGGACAACTGAATGAGATAAACCACCAATCCAAACTGGATCCTATCCGCGGATTTGTCCAGTGGAAATGCCCACTTTGCCGTGCATGGCGCTCCCATCGATCGCTGCAAGAGACCTCCACGGAGTCGTCCTGTTCACAATGAGTCGGTCTCTTGGCGGACAACAAAATGGACGTTTTCCTGTTGGTTTTCCTTTCAACACCGCCTCAAAAAAGAGGTTTCCAATGCCAGAAGTAGATGGCTCCATTCCGTTTATGTGAGGGTGTCTCGCGACGGTGGGAAAGCCCCCGTTTGGTTGGTATTCAAGCGAAAAGCAAAAAACCAACCATAGGGCATCATTGTTTTGAGAAACTCCCATGCGGGCAAGTAAAGGGGTCAAACCAAAAGGGAATGGTGCCAACTCTCACCGTGCTCGATTTGTTTAGAGGGACACTGACCGGGGCCCAGTTGCAACCAGCAACCCGGACGGTAGAGAAAAAGAACCTCTGGGGCCAGCGATGAAACAAAAAGAGATGTGGGTACCCGGTCAAATGGAAGGTTGTTTGGGGGGTTCTGTTGGGAAGTGTGGTCCCCCCCCCCCAAAAAAAAAAGATGCCCCAGGTCCCAACGTTTGGTGTGACAGGTGGTTGGGAGTAGACAGAAACAGAAGGGAAAACACGGAGACAATCCCATTTGGCTGTGCATGAGATGGTGGTCAAACTGCGACATGTGTTGAGGCCATCTAGATTCTCTCACCTATGCATAGCAAATATGACACATTCATCTGCTCGTTTGGATTTCGGAGCTGCCAGCTTACCGGCAGGGTTTCAAACCGGTGGCGATTCCGAGTTGGTAACTTTTTGGAGATTGCGTAGAGGAAAACCAAATTGAACATAATATAAGGGGATAGATCATCATGACATATTCTCACATATTGTTCTTTGATGGTCCCCACAAGCCCATTCTCCCTCCTTTAGGCCTTTATAGTACCGAGGCGACCCATTCCAGGTAAAAAGAAAAAAACCCAGGACACCTCCCAGCAACAAAAGCAAAAGGGCACCTGCCACTTGTGTTTCTCACCCCACCCCCCCTTGCCCCCGCAGTTTGACACGTGCCCATTTGGTGGTTCCATTCAAAGACACCCCTTTTGTGGCTCTCCTTTCGCTCCATCTGCAGCGGGAGGCGCCACAGGTCATCCAGCGTCACCTGGCCGGCCACAATCAGCTTCGAAGCTCTCTCCCCCTGGGTGTACCTTTTACTCCTGGTGGATTTTCAAGGACGAGGATTATGGACAGCTGGGCATTGGGTGTGGGAGCGAGGCTTATCAAAGGGAAGCCCACCAATAAATCTAGGGGTTGGTTCCCCACTCTTTTCAGGGTCGGTCCCCTCCTTTGAGACCATCCCCCCAAGCTCTAACACAGGGGTTCTGATTGCCTGCACCAAAGGACAAACAAGTGCGTAGCGTCCTAGACCCATTTGCTAGAACCCATTTAGGGTGTCCCAACTAATTCAGCTTACTTGTTCAAGCTAGGGGTTCCCCTTGAGAAATCAACGAGCCTGTGTTTCAGTGTACCCGTATGTCCAACTTGGAACCCAGAGAGGGTCCCTGAGAAAAACAGGATCCCACAATCAAGTTCTGCAATGGACGGAGGGTAGTTGACCGAACAGTTGGTCTCTGCAAACTGTGGAGACCAACATTGTGTTTTGGACGTCGAGATGTCCTCTCCGTCCCTCTCACTTCGCCCTTAGGACATCACCCATTGATCAGTACTTCATCCTCGCAAACCAACCCTTTAAATGGGATGCACCCCCCCCCATTTAGATCATGCCCCCAACCAAAAACGACTGTGCGTGCTCCCTGCCTCCTGCTTTGGCCCGGACTCGCAGGCGCCGCCAAAGATCCAGAAGGATCCTTGCGCAGCTGGGTCCGTCGTTCTCGAGTCGGTATTTTTTTCCGCCTTGTCTTGAAAGGAACCCCCCCCCCAAAAAAAAACATTGAGGCTGGCAACATTATTTCACCATGATCAAAGTCAGCCCCGAAGCGGTAGGTTAAAGGGCAACAATTCCATGTTCTGACTTTGACAACCCCCTGAAACAGTCAAAATAATGGCCCTAATGAGGTGGCCTTATATTTGACGCAAATTGCGGTGTGCATCGCCTCTGGAGAGGCCGATGCTCAGCCGCACTCGCTGCAGGATTTCTTGGCCCCAGTTGGAATCCTCTCAAAAGGGACACGTGCCTTGGGGTTCCGGTGGCCTTGCCAATATGCCACCTTCTCGCACGCGATTCCTTGCAATTCATGGGTGAGAGCTCTTGCTCGCTGGACTATTGCAAACCAACCCAGCAAAGAGAAGTCGGACATTGTATGAGTCATGATGCCCTGGGGTCTCGCCCACCAAACAAATCTTAAACTGGTTGGGTTTCGCCCACCAAAAAAAGCTAAACACTGGTTAAAAGATGCAAGATGATACCTTCCACTGGACCAACCGCTTGAAGTTTGAACTACCCAAGGGCCTTGTGCCACGAGGCAGGCTGCGGCCATGCGGCCCCGGGGCGCCTCGTGAGTCCCGAGGCGCGAAAAACACGGGTTCCCCTTGTGGGATTGACGGATGGACCCCTTTTTTGGCGGGGAACCCCAAGAGACACAAACCCCAAGGAAAACTGGGGTTAGGAAAGTAGGAAGAGTCGAAAAGTAGCTTGGGCAAAGCATTTGCCCACGGAATGCGCCGCCATGAGCCCGGCGCAGAAACAAGACGCGCAGCAAGAAACGCTCCTTGTGGTACGGCTAGCACATGGTATCTGTCCAGGACCCGTCACTGACGAACCTTGAAGTAGGGAAGCAGGAACTCTCAAGTGGGCACTCCCCTTGACAGCGTAGCAGTGGAAGGGCTCCAAATTGATTGAGCAGTCCCAACACCCTTCATGTTGGAGGGCGCATAAATGACCAACTCCCACGTTTGGTTCAAGCTGGTTGACTAACTCATGGGGCTTGCTCACAAAGACTGGCTTCGAGAAGAAAACATGATGAGCAAGCATGTGCTACCAAAAACACAGCTTCCTCGCCTCGTGGTTGATTGCTTTGGGAAAATGCTAAGCAAGCTCTGATTGCTTGTTGGCTTGCTGGCTTGTTTGTCTGTTTGTCTATTTGTTGGTTGCTTGTTTGTTTGTTTGTTTGCTTGCTTGCTTGCTTGTTTGCTTGTGTGTTTGTTTGTTTGTTTGTTTGTTTGTTTGTTTGTTTGTTTGTTTGTTTGTTTGTTTGTTTGTTTGGTTGTTTGTTTGTTTGTTTTTGTTTGTTTGTTTGTTTGTTTGTTTGTTGGTTGGTTGGTTGGTTGGTTTTGGTTGTTTGTTGGTTGTTTGTTTGTTTTTGTTTGTTTGTTTGTTTGTTTTGGTTGGTGGTTGGTTGTTTGTTTGTTTGTTTGTTTGTTTGTTTGTTTGTTTGTTTGTTTGTTTGTTGGTTGGTTGGTTGGTTTGTTTGTTTGTTTGTTTGTTTGTTTGTTTGTTTGTTTGTTTGTTTGTTTGTTTGTTTGTTTGTTTGTTTGTTTGTTTGTCTCTGTCTGTTTCTCCTTCTCTTTCTCTCTCTCTCTCTCTCACTCTCGTTCTCTAGCCAGCCCCTTTAGCAAGGCGGGGAGGGGTGGAACCAAGTGGTGCCAGGGCTGTGGATGCCTCGGTTCGGCAACTTGCAAATCTCGGAGCCAAGTTCATTCCCTGTTCACGTGCACTGTGAGACGGCCCAGTCGCCGGAAACAAGAGCAGCTACCCGAAGCAAAGAAGTCCCACCAGTTTGGACCTCCCGTCCGACACGGAACCCACCAAAGGGTCCGTGAGTGAGATGGTCTTCGGGTGGTCTCAGGCTTTGATCAGAACCAACGGCGAGCAACCAGCGAGCCTCTCGCGCCGCCTCGCCGGTAGGTCCTGCCCCCCACGCGGTTGCCAGCCAAAGCCGCGAGACCACACCAGAAGTTAGAAGCGCGCTGAATCTGTCATGAGTTTGATGCCACCGAAGAAACCAAAAGCCGAGTTGGCCAACTTGATTCCATGCCCAACTGTTCAAGTTGAAGCGTTGGCTGGGAAGCATCAGTGCACCATGTAAGAATGCTTACCTCGTTGGATCAGATGATTGGTCGGTCAACACCCTATCAGCATTGCCAGGCTCTGGTGATATGCGGCTCAAGCTTGCCTCTGGTGCAACAAATATGTTGAGCTTGCAGCTTGGCGGCGTCTTCATGCTCAACTGCCGCCACTGTCCCAGGTATACATGTGCTTGGACTCGTTTCCGAGGCCTCTTTGGTTTGCTTCCAACACGCTTCCAACACGCTGCGTTGCGTGGAAGTTGCTTCAAAAGCTTAGCTTGGGAAGGGAATTGCATGAGCATGCAAGGTTCCTGTTTGTGTGTATTGCAACAGGGAGAGGCAGTTTGGGGGCCGGTGTCAGCTTTAAGTTTGGTCCAGCTGGAACTTGCCGCTCTCGCCGTGTTTACTTCGCCTTATGGAGTGCTGTTCCAGCAATGCCTCGAGGGGGTCAAGGTGATCTAAGACCAGGCCAAACCTGGAAAGCAAAAAGGTGAAAGGTTCATTCGCTTTCGGCAGGTGAGACTTTTGTAATTATTTTCAGTGCAGACTTCTTGAAGTTCATTTGTCGTTTCTGTGGAAACCACCAAAAGAACCCAGCACTTGGGCGACCATGAGGTTCCAACAAATGGATTCTCCGCCACACACATTGTTCTTGAGCGCATCGAAACCGTTTCATTAGAACCCATTTACCCACAAACCTGGGACACTCGGATTTACGCATGGTTTGCCTTTTTGGTTTCCCCAACTCTGGTGAACTGTCCCGAGCTCGAGCCCTCCTCTGAGCGCCAGCTGGTAGGCGTCACAGCCGCCGCCCACGGCTGGCAGCTCCAGCGCCTTGGTGGGAGACCCTTTTCCTGTAAAAGGGCCCCTCCGGCGGCTGCCATGGGAACTCTCTTCATGAAGGTTCCTCCGTACCCATGTGCAAACGACCGCGAGAAACAACGTTCTCAAGTTTGGGAGTATGGGGCTATGGAGCTTCCAGGCATCTGCGTCTTATCTATGGCCCAGCGCTTTCTTCGGTTCCCTGTATATATCACCCGACCAGAAAGCTCATTTTGAATTGGTTTAGGAGCTGATGTTTAACACCACAAACTGAAAAAATGATAGTGAACCCTGAGAAAGACATCCTCTCAGCCAAGTAGAAACGGATTCCCACATGGTCAGACGTTGCTTCCCCAAAAGCTGCGGTTCTAAAGCCCAGCGTCCGGCGCAAGCCGCGGCCACAGGCGCTCCCAGCGTGGAGTGCCAGTGCAGTCCTGACGACAACCTGAACCCAACTCAAGTCCCGGGTTTGGGCATGTTTCCTTAGCCTTCGTATGTAAGTCTCTGGGACTTGGAGTACTCATGTGACTAGAATGTAGCATGTATCATGTAGGGTTCGCGACCGGCAGCCACCCAAAGCTCAAACAAGTCTTTTGACCATGCTGCATGCAACAAGGACCAGCCCGGGACAAGCAAGGCGCAAGCAACATCCTCTGTCACCATCCAATCCGACCGACCCCAGACGAGGGTCCAAGAGGAAGATGTCTTGATGGAAGACAGCCAACTCTGCTGCGCGCTTTGTGCCATCCGCGCCAGTACTCGCCTCAGGGCCAAGCTGACAGTGGACTGAGAGCCCATCAAAGCCTTGCTGGACCAGCTGTTGTGTAGCCTGTGTAGCATAAATGCTATCGCAACGAAGACCCTGCTGGGCATGTTCAAGAGAAATGAAAAGAGGCCACTTCAACAACAGATCAAACATGTCTAAATGAATGGCCCGTATTTTGCAAATTCAGCTCTTTCGGGCAGCTTCTTCATGCAAACAGCACAGGCAACAATCGATAGTTGCAGCCACTTTGCACTTTCAAGCACCAAACCATCCATCCTCCACTGCCACCCACCATCCACCATCTCCCCCCCCCCCGCCGCAACCCCACCAACCGCCCCTCCCCAGTTGGCTTTGGGAGACTTTGCGACTTTGCGAATCCCCCGTCTGCAGCTGCGGCGCTACACGGTGGTCCGCTACACCCCCAAAGACCAGCCGCCGCAAGGGCTCCTGACACACGGTCTGAGTTATGAAGAGGTTGTGCCTTTTGCCGAAGCTGCCCCGCAAAAGGGGGTTTGAAGGGAACCAAAGCAAAATCAACCATTTTGGGAGTGTTCTTGGGTTGAGACAAAGCTGAGGGCACAGGGGAAGATGAGTGAGTCCCCTGGTTTCTGTGGGTAAGAGTCAATGTCAGTATGGTCCCTCCCAAATCACCTTGGAGGGCTGATTTCTTTGGAGGGCTGATTTGACGAGAGGCAGGCATGGCTTGAGGCAACCATCAGGAATGCTGGGGAATGTATTTCCGCAAGGATTGCTGAAGAAAGGCTGCAAACCGAACATCGGGGCAAATGTTCACCCAAGGGTTTTACGCGCCATGTGAAACACATGGCCTAGATTGGAGTTCACGTCAGCAAGCCTTCTTGCAGAGAATGCTGGTGCAAAGAAGGTCTTTTTGTTTACTGAAATGGGAGCATTGCCGTGCTCAAGCTCGAGCTAAGAAAGCACAATATTCCAAAACACACACACACACCCACGCACGCACGCACGCATGCACGCACGCACGCACGCGCGCGCGCGCGCACGCAAGCAAGCAAGCAAGAAAGCACGCACGCTCGCACGCACGCACACAAGCAAGCACGCAAGAAAGCACGCACGCACGCACGCTCGCACCCACGCACAGGCCAAACAATCTCAAATGTTTGAACACCTCACCCTGGCAGCGCATTCAATACGTACTACAATGCCATGCACGCCTACACGAAATGATCATGTCGTACTCGGGTGCCTACCAGTGACATCAAATCTGAACCATCAGTCTCTCCCAAAAGAGCGATGCACAAAGTCAAGGGAGGTTAGAGACGCCCGTCAAGATGCCGGACTCCCTCCCGCAAAAGGGAGAACTGAAACGAAGCACGACGACCAGCTGCCTTGAGAAGGTAAGCGACTTTGCTCACGGGTCATCGCGAAGATCCTCTTGACCCTGTGTCGGTTGGCATGTGGCACCATGCTGTGTTGTGCAAAATGAAAGAATCCTTAATCCTAATCCTTAGTGGGACACCACTACAACAAGGGACACCACTACCACCTTCCACAAGGATTGAGGATCGATTTTGAACAACCAAGCCACGTAGAACACGTTCTCGATGTTTCAACAAAGCTGACAATTGCAGCTCAGCCAAACGCAGCTCCTTCTCCGACAGGGGGCAGTGGCCTCAGTGACTCCTACGGGTGGTTCCCTCATGATGCAACTGGGTTCGACAAAGAAGCTGGTCAATTGGTTCTTCAGAAGTTGCGCATCTGACTGTGTATGAGCTTGTGTTCACCTGCTTCATGGGCTGTAGGGGATGAACGACTTGTCATCGTTTCTTTCAAGTCCTTGACCAAATGTATACAGACGGCGATGAGATGTGAGGGGGGGTTGTGATTGCTGCTCTGATGAATGCTCACTCCAAGTCTCGTTGAATGGTGTGCGCAACAAAAACGATCGTGCTTAAGCGAACAAATCGAATCCCCCACACGCAAGTAGCAAGCTTCAAGCCTCAAAAGAGCCTGAATGCAACCAGAAGCACAATGCCTGATCCTGATAACACAAAGTGATTCACGAGAAGCCAACAGCGATCAAATGAGCATCCAGTGGCACATGCAAAGCAACCAATGGGCCAATTGCCACTCTGCTTTGGACTTCAAAGAAGGAACTGGGGTCTACTATCTCACCCGAATCACTGAGACTAGACTATTGATGAATGTCAAAATTACCGACCCACAACCAACGCTCGCGGAATTCAACATGGATTTGTCCAAATGGGATGTAGAACCCATGGGTGGGTTCTGAAACAAGCTCCCAAAAAGGATAATTCCATTAGGAAACAACAACAACAAAACGAACCACCGAAAAGGGGTACCAACTAAATAAGCTCAGGTGATATTCCCAACAGCACGCTGTGCTCGTTTTAGTGCTCGCCCCACCCGAACCTCGTGGAACCCTCGTGGAACCCTGGTGGGTCGTGGAACCTTACCTCAATCCCACCCCACAACACCCCGGAGCCTATCTGGGCTGAGACCCTAAAGCTTTCAGCTGGGGAAAACAAAAAAGAGAGAAACAGCCCCACCCATCCTTTCGACATTGGCCCATCTCCCCATCGATTGGGCCCCCTGGCACATGCCGCTGCGCCGGCCAGGACCCTGCAGGGCGAAGCGTGAGAAGGCCCACCCCCCCTCCCCTTTTGCCTTAAAGGGTGGCGCCGGCCAGGAGAAAACTCCCATGCAATTCCAAAAAATCCAAAGAAATCAAGCGATCCAATTGTAGAGGAAACTCGATGTTGGGAAATTCACCATATGTGAATTTGCTGGTCCAACCATTCCGAACCCAAGGATCCCTTCCAGAAAGCCACCAATCCAGAGGAAATGGCCTGGCTTCGGAAAAATCGATGGCTGACATGGAGAATCAACCCTATATGCGCCTGAAATCTGAAATCGGACATCAAATCTATGGCACTGCTTTGTACCGACCTTCCAGAAGCAGCGCTTGTGCCTAGGTGCTAGGCAAGCCCTTGGCTGGACTTTGCCTCTCCGATTCCTTTCAAAATCAAGTTGGACCAAGAAGGCCACTAAGTAAAGGCGCGGGGCAAACACCTGCTTGCACGTTCTGGAAAGATGTGGGTCCTTTTGGATTTGGTACCCTGTTTGAGATTATTTTAAAACCGAAAGAAAACCAACTCCAAGGTTCCCTAATTTGATACAAACCCATGTGCTTGGGCCAAAACCATTTTCTGCAAAGCAAAGAGGGATTATCTTGCATCGTGTACAGAGTCGTGAATAACACCTTCAAAGAGGCGCGAAGGCGACCAAAAATGCCCCCGTCATCCGGAACGTCCTGCATCAATCCAGGCATCCAACAAAGTGAAGGGCGGTTGACCAGGAAAAAAGCCGGTCGATGATTCACTCTTCAACCACAGGTTCTTCAAGAAGAGTGGCAACAAACAAACAAGCAAGCAAAGAAACAAAGAAACAAACAAACAAACAAATAGACAGATCCATCAAAGACTCCGAGTTGAGAGAATCAGTCCAGAATCACCGAGAGGCGTTGCAGCCTTCACGGGTTCTCCAAAGACCATCATCGTAGCTTGGCAAGTATCAACCCAGACTTCACAGGCAGGCGACCCTCCATTCGGGAATTGTTTAAACTTTGCCTTTCTCGTCCAACTAAGTAGACTGGGAGTTGGGTTGCAGACTTGGCCCCATGTCATGCTGTGTGACCAGCTGCAATTTCCCCAGCTATGCGTCACACCGCCCTCCGCCGCTTTCCCTTAAATAACCAAAGCAGAGTTCCAGCAACAATCAGTTTGCCTGAAAGCCATGCTATGAGTCTAGGAGTATTCAAGTTGCAGCTCAACCCACCTGCTCTAATGAATCCGCCTTCTGTAGACCTGGACATCCAACGGGCGCTGGGCTAGCAGGAAAACGTGGGAGCTCTCAGTCCTCCTCCGGCAGGAAGATCAACAACAAAACCCATGGACAACCAGCAGTCAGAAAGCCTCTCTGCCCTCACTCCTGCCTCTCCCTGGGTGGCCAACTGCTCCCAAACAGCTCCAGCTCTGCCCAGCTTGGCACACCAAAGGTCCTTGGCCGACTTGCGGGGTCAAACACAGCACGACCTACTTGTACTGCGACGGAGGACAAAATACCGAACTGTCCAGGGCCAACAAGTTCAATCGAGGTCCGTGTGATTCAGCAGCTACATGATGCGAAACCATTATTTCGAAGCTGGCACATGTTAGCCTCACTTAACTGGTGCTGCGTTTTGAGAAGAACTCCGAGGTGGTTCCTGCCTGAGTCAAGATACCCATGGCTTCCTTCAAAGATCACGTGTGTCAGCGAAACGGCTTCTCCCAGTAAGACTCAGTTTCCAGGAATTCGCATAAGCGTTCCCCCAGAAGAAGATTCCCAAGGATGCCTTTTTGGAATTCCGTGTTCTGCCGGGCAGTATTCCGCAGTTTGGATTCAGAGTTAACCCATGTTTTTAAGAAAAACCAGCCTCGCACCACTAGACTCAGAAGCATCGCACAATACCTATAGCCCATTCAACAACAACACAACAACAGAGGGAAACCCCAAGCCCACCCAAAACTGACCCTAGCCTCAAATACGTCACCCTTAGCCAACGTAATCCCCTAAGCCTCCTGAACCTACACATCCCTATCCACCAACCAACCATTCCTACACCACTACCACCCCCAAAAACTCCCCGAAACCAACTGCCGGAACCTCGTTTCCAGCCTCGTTTTCGACGCGGGATCCCTGCCTCCAGCACCTGCAAGGTGTCGCCACCCTTGCGCGTTGGCCTGGATCCGCCGTACAGAAAAACCTCGGTGAGCCAAGTCGCGAAGGGCCTGGCCGAATCCTTTTTTTCTGGTTTCCTTCGGACAGTTCCTTTTTGACAAACTCAAAAAGGCCGTTAAGCACCCAGAACCTGGGAGATAGACGGGCCAAATGGCTCATATTTCCCGGCAGACACATCCCTGGCTATGAGTTCTAAGCAGAAATGGACCTTTGTGCCAGAAATGCATGGTTGAAACTCTGACCACAGGATGTTCGCCCAAAGGTCCATTTCTGGCCCAGAGGCATTTTTGGCGAACAGTCCATTTTTGGCGGATGTCCGCCCTCAGAATTCATAGCCACTAGGCACGAAGGCACGAGCAACAGAAACGTCATGACCACATCGAATGGCGCGTCTCGGATTCCCTAAAGCTCGTGCGAGTTCACGGCATCCTGTCGCTTGCAAGATGATTATCAAGATATCCAGGTGACTTCCTCTGTTCTTCAGCCAGGAAAGGAATCTTCAAGCCATGCACCCAAGCAAACGCACGACGGGCAGCACACTTAGCCGGGCCGGCATGAAACTTCAGCCTTTTCCACACAAACACACAAGCTCATCACAGCAAGTGTGTCGCCTTGGAAAATGTACTTTCCTGTGAAGCGGAACTAGTTCGATATATAAGGGGCTCTACCTTCCCAAGTGATTAGCTGTGGTCGCCCCGAGTTGTTCCTGGAGCACTATAAAACGTTTAGTTCCCTTCTTGTTCTTCGCAAGGTGTCTAAGCGAATGGCCCTGCCCAAATCTTCCAGACCACCTGGACATGGTCAAAACCCCATGTCCTTGTCTTGCTATTTTTGTTGAATCGGTCTGTGCAGGGGTGTAGTAGTCAACAAATGAACCACAGGTCCCCTGGTTTTCGTGGCGGAAATGTCCCTACCATATTCAACATAGACAAAATGCTTTGACCAAACCGAATATGTACCATGGCCAAGATTCCTGTGGGTCATGGTCATGGTTATAGTCATAGTCTGCTGTGTTTGGGATTGACTTAACTTGGGGTCCCTCTGGTCCACATCCTTTAGGCATTTAGGTGGCGATTTATGTCAACCTCCCACGATTATCAATCAAATTGGGATTCCCGGGTTTCATCCGAGGCAACGCTGGATGCAGCCGCGAAGAGCAGGCATCCCGCGCGGGCCTTGGGGCTGCAGCGCTCCGAAGGCAGCAGCCCTCGACGGCAGGAGCGATGCCATGAGAGAAGTGGAGTTTGTTTAACTGGCTGCCTGGAAAGAGGGGAAACGGAGATACTGGGACCCTGGGAGGGGAGAAAACTGGAATTGGATGTCCTTTGAGTCTGGGGAGGTCGAGCAAAGCAGTCACAGGCAAGGATGGCAGGAAGTTTGTTGCTTCCAGTGCGAGACTGTATTCTTTCACATCTTTCGCATGGCACACAAACAGGTCCTCGCGTGCAAGTCGGAAGAAACACTGCTGCGTGCAAGTCGGAAGAAACACTGCTCTGCCGTCTTCCCTCAGGCTGGTGCGCTGCCTTGATGGGTTCATGGGTTCAGGGCATTTGCGTCGCCCTATTGATCGATTAGGGGTTACCAACTCAATGCACGAAAACCGGGAAAACGCACAGACGTTGCTTCGCATCCTGTGTTCATATCCAAGACTCCAGTTGGGCATGCACCACAATACCCTCCAAAAATGGGTGCCGATTACACACACACACACACTCTGAGTAGAAGGGTCATTTGCCCGGGGCCTGTGTCGGATTCGAGGACCCAAGGCGGCCGACACTTGACGCTGAACCTTGTAAGTGACGATCACCATAGTTTCCCTCATGGCTGATCAGAAGCAACCAGCATTGACGCATCACAACCAGATCCCAAAACACGCGCATCACACCCAGTTTGGATCTGCAGGTACACACCCATGGCCAGTGGATGCTTCCCTCTCTGATTGTTCTGTTTTTTTATATATATATTTTTTAGCCCTGCAAAGGTTGGCAACCTGGAGCCAAATTGCAAGCATATCTAGGGGTCATTATTTTGCAGCCACACGCCTCCACGCAGCGTTTTAGGTTTCGAATCCTTCGCAGGACGAGGTCGTTTCCTGGACGGACGGCATAGCTTCGTTGGACCGAGTAGCATCAGAGAGCTCGGTCCCCCTGCATCGGTTGGAAAAAAAATCAAGGTCGTGGTGTACACGCACGCCCACCACGCGCAGCACCCACCCACCCACATACACCCACATACACCCACACCCACATACACCCACATACACCCACACCCACATACACCCACATACACCCACATACACCCACACACACACACACACAAATGCACGCGCGCACGCGCACAACGCGTGCACGCATGCACACATGCACACATGCACACATGCAAGCGCACACAGATACAAAACACCGAATTCGTCCGAGCTTCTCCAGGTGTGGCTTGGCAAGTGCAGCGCATAGAAGTCATCCAGATAACTGGCCCGCCGCTTCTTGTCTTCGCTGAAGCCCCCATAAAGCACCTGGAAGCACTGGGAAGAAAGGAGTCCAGCGCTATTCTCGTCACAAGGCTCTGACACCCGCAAGGATCCCAAAGAATTCACCTGGTAGTGAAGTGGGATTGCCCAAAAAGTAGAGGACCCTGTTTTCCAACTACAAATCCGTTGTGTTGACTTCCATGTGGCTTATGCAAGTGTCCAGAAACAGGGTCCCCCAACCTGTGTATGGACAACATCCACTTCGCACTATTTGGGATGGATGAAACCCTATTGCTGGGACAAACCAAATACCACCAGGATTTCGTTCATCCACAGCAAGTTGTCGGCTGACCATCCTGGCGAGAGCCAACGAGGGTCTGGCCAGTCATTTGACTTAACAAGGTAGATCGGCATACATGTGGGTCTCATTTGTACTCGGAAACCCTTTGATGTGAATCATATACGTGGGGATTTATGTCCACCAGCCAATTGTGCCGATGTTCCCTGCGTGGATTCATGGCCATTCTTTGGCAAGGACCACGTCCTGATTTGTCACTCGACTTCTCACCACTTTGCACATTTCCTCTTTGGGAACCTTTGTAATTAACCGCGCCTTTGGCTAATTTTCAGGATGTCACTTTAATGGGCCCGGTACCGTCAACAGTATTTATTATATGGACCCATAGAGAATTTCTGCGGAGCCATGACCCTGGCCCCCACTTAGGGAGCTTTGACCAAATTGGGTCTTTTCAGGTACATGCGAGGGTTTGTGTGCAGGATCCAGCTGGAAGGTGGCGGCCATTTGCCCAAGGTCACAACCCTTGGATCCGCCAGACTGGTAGCTTTGAGGGATCAGGATTCTAGATCCTTGCTTGCGTCAAAAGAACCTATGTCCCATTTGAGCTTGCCAAAAAATATATATATATTTTTTTTTTTTTTAAAAAAAAAAAAAAAAAAAAAAAAAAAAAAAAAAAAAAAAAAACCTATCTTGTAACAAATAAAACGACATTCTAAAAAGGATCCACCAAACCCCGTACCCCCAGTGAACATCCAATTCAATCCCCACTAAAATAGGTTCTAAAATGGGTGGTGCATTCACCTACCAACCAAAATGGGATCCCATTGGGGTTGACCCAAGCATTTTCCCGCAAAAAAAAAACAACAAATCACAAACACAAATGCCTATCTTGTAACAAATAAAACGACATTCTAAAAGGATCCACCAAACCCCGTACCCCCAGTGAACATCCGATTCAATCCCCACTAAAATAGGTTCTAAAATGGGTGGTGCATTCACCTACCAACAAAAATGGGATCCCATTGGTGTTGACCCAAGCATTCGCTGGCAAAACAATAGATAAATCACAAACACAAATGCCTATCTTGTAACAAATAAAACGACAGTCTAAAAAGGATCCACCAAACCCCGTACCCCCAGTGAACATCCGATTCAATCCCCACTAAAATAGGTTCTAAAATGGGTGGTGCATTCACCTACCAACCAAAATGGGATCCCATTGGTGTTGACCCAAGCATTTTCTGGCCAAAAAATAGATAAATCACAAACACAAATGCCTATCTTGTAACAAATAAAACGACATTAAAAAGGATCCACCAAACCCCGTACCCCCAGTGAACATCCGATTCAATCCCCACTAAAATAGGTTCTAAAATGGGTGGTGCATTCACCTACCAACCAAAATGGGATCCCATTGGTGTTGACCCAAGCATTCTCTGGCAAAAAATAGATAAATCACAAACACAAATGCCTATCTTGTAACAAATAAAACGACATTCTAAAAAGGATCCACCAAACCCCGTACCCCCAGTGAACATCCGATTCAATCCCCACTAAAATAGGTTCTAAAATGGGTGGTGCATTCACCTACCAACCAAAATGGGATCCCATTGGTGTTGACCCAAGCATTTTCCCGCAAAAAAATAAACAAATCGCAAACACAAATGCCTATCTTGTAACAAATAAAACGACATTCTAAAAAGGATCCACAAAACCCCGTACCCCCAGTGAACATCCGATTCAATCCCTACTAAAATAGGTTCTAAAATGGGTGGTGGATTCACCGACCAACCAAAATCGGATCCCATTGGTGTTGACCCAAGCATTTTCCCGCAAAAAAAAAATCACAAACACACATGTCTATGTTGCATAAATAAAGCAACATACTAAAAAGGATCCACCAAGCCATTCGGCTATGGGTGAAAACCCTGTACCCCCAGTGAACATCCGATTCAATCCCCACTAAAATAGGTTCTAAAATGGGTGGTGCATTCACCTACCAACCAAAATGGGATCCCATTGGTGTTGACCCAAGCATTTTCTGGCCAAAAAATAGATAAATCACAAACACAAATGCCTATCTTGTAACAAATAAAACGACATTCTAAAAAGGATCCACCAAACCCCGTACCCCCAGTGAACATCCGATTCAATCCCCACTAAAATAGGTTCTAAAATGGGTGGTGCATTCACCTACCAACCAAAATGGGATCCCATTGGTGTTGACCCAAGCATTTCTGGCAAAAAAATAAATAATCACAAACACAAATGCCTATCTTGTAACAAATAAAACGACATTCTAAAAAGGATCCACCAAACCCCGTACCCCCAGTGAACATCCGATTCAATCCCCACTAAAATAGGTTCTAAAATGGGTGGTGCATTCACCTACCAACCAAAATGGGATCCCATTGGTGTTGCCCCAAGCATTTTCCCGCAAAAAAATAAACAAATCGCAAACACAAATGCCTATCTTGTAACAAATAAAACGACATTCTAAAAAGGATCCACAAAACCCCGTACCCCCAGTGAACATCCGATTCAATCCCTACTAAAATAGGTTCTAAAATGGGTGGTGGATTCACCGACCAACCAAAATCGGATCCCATTGGTGTTGACCCAAGCATTTTCCCGCAAAAAAAAAATCACAAACACACATGTCTATGTTGCATAAATAAAGCAACATACTAAAAAGGATCCACCAAGCCATTCGGCTATGGGTGAAAACCCTGTACCCCCAGTGAACATCCGATTCAATCCCCACTAAAATAGGTTCTGAAATGGGTGGTGAATTCACCTACCAACCAAAATGGGATCCCATTGGCGTTGACCCAAGCATTGTCCCGCACAAAAAAAAACAAAACGCTTATCTTGTAACAAATAAAATCAACATACCAAAAAGGATCCACCAAGCCGTTCACTAAAATGTGGTGCGCCTACCAACCAAAATGGGATCCCATTGGGGTTGACCCAAGCATTTTGCCGCAAAAATACACACACACAAAAACGCGTATCTTGCAACAACTAAAATCAACATACCAAAAAGGATCCACCAAGCCGTTCACTAAAATGTGGTGCACCTACCAACCAAAATGGGATCCCATTGGGGTTGACCCAAGCATTTTGCCGCAAAAAAGCACACACAAAAACGCTTATCTTGCAACAAATAAAATCAACATACCAAAAAGGATCCACCAAGCCGTTCACTAAAATGTGGTGCACCTACCAACCAAAATGGGATCCCATTGGGGTTGACCCAAGCATTTTGCCGCAAAAAAGCACACACAAAAACGCTTATCTTGCAACAAATAAAATCAACATACCAAAAAGGATCCACCAAGCCGTTCACTAAAATGTGGTGCACCTACCAACCAAAATGGGATCCCATTGGGGTTGACCCAAGCATTTTGCCGCAAAAAAGCACACACAAAAACGCTTATCTTGCAACAAATAAAATCAACATACCAAAAAGGATCCACCAAGCCGTTCACTAAAATGTGGTGCACCTACCAACCAAAATGGGATCCCATTGGGGTTGACCCAAGCATTTTGCCGCAAAAAAGCACACACAAAAACGCTTATCTTGCAACAAATAAAATCAACATACCAAAAAGGATCCACCAAGCCGTTCACTAAAATGTGGTGCACCTACCAACCAAAATGGGATCCCATTGGGGTTGACCCAAGCATTTTGCCGCAAAAAAGCACACACAAAAACGCTTATCTTGCAACAAATAAAATCAACATACCAAAAAGGATCCACCAAGCCGTTCACTAAAATGTGGTGCACCTACCAACCAAAATGGGATCCCATTGGGGTTGACCCAAGCATTTTGCCGCAAAAACACACACACGCAAAAACGTGTATCTTGCAACAAATAAAATCAACATACCAAAAAGGATCCACCAAGCCGTTCACTAAAATGTGGTGCACCTACCAACCAAAATGGGATCCCATGGGTGTTGACCCCACGGCCATTCGACCTCGACCTCTGCCCGCACTGCGCTTAGGCACGCCGTAGTCGCCCACCACGGCCATGCGGTGGCCCGAGCGTGGCGATGGCATGCTGCCACCCGCCTGGATCGATTATCCGCAAGCCGAGGGTCAAGCCGAGGACAGCGGCGAACATGGAAAAAGAAGAACGGATCTTGGCCAGAAAGTATAGATATATAGATAGATTGCTTATTGGTTATGTTCATGTCATTGCCATATATCTTATTGCTTGTCAGTTATGTTCATGTTATTATATTTATGGTTGTATCTTAGAGTCTTGTGGTGTCTACTTATTACCTACTAATGGCGTACTTATTCAATTGTGTACGATACTTGCTGAAAAGCTCTATCTTGCTAAGAGTGATCCGTTCATATAGCTTCTTATTTACTGTGACTTGTTGATTTGTTTGGGATCTACTACTTGCTTACACTATTCGTCACTGGATTTCATGTTTATGTTTTACCTGTCTTTGAATCATCTTTATTTAGTTTAGACTTTAGATGTCAGCTACTAGTAAAGAGATAGAGAAGTCGATCGAACGCGAATATGATGAAGGAAGTAACATTAATTCCAGGAAGCGCAACTATTAAGACAGGCAAACATGGAAAAGACAAGAGTCGAGCGGAAAACCTATTCACGTCTTGGTTCTACAAGTGTGTGAACCTGATCAAGGAGTCACTGGCAAGCGGCCCGTCTCGGATCCGTTTCATCTGCATTCTGGTGGTGCAGGACTCCTGGAAGACAAGGCCTGAAAGCTGATCGAAGGTTGCCGCAAAGCTCTGGGGCTTTCCCATGGCATGCTATCCACGTAAAAAACCTCCGGGGAAAACCGACGTCAGGGGCCTCTAGGCGCTCCCAGCGCTTGCCCGGCGCCGGGCTCAGGCGCCACAGGTCTTGGAACTGGCCTCGACGCGAACAAACGGATGGCGCTTCTTTTTTTTTGAGAGGAACGAGGTACCTCTTCAATAATATGGCTTGAAGGGAAACCCAACAACATCAATCCCTTTTTGTTCTTCTTTTTTCCCTGGGGGGGGGGGGCGGGGCGATGTTGACATATTCCCAACTGGGTGTTTTGGAGTCATTGGATCTACTGGAGCCTTCATGCTAGGGAGGAATTTGCGCAAAAGGAGTACTCCCGGGAACTTGACACCTCGAAAAACACCTGGTGAAAGCGATCAGGCGAGAAGTCCGCTTCGAGCCGATGCTTGCGATGCAACGCGACAGCCGCTTCGAACAAGTTGATGTTACTGGCACGGATTCTGGCCGCAACTCGCCACGAACAACCGGCTCGGGGAATGGCACGCGAGTGGAAAGAGCCGCTCTTTGCCGATGCTCTCAAGGTCTCAGGCCAAAAATGCAAACAGCAGTGCCAGGTGCTCATGGATTTGTTCAGCTTTCATGCATTGTCCCAAGTCAGCTTCTCAACTTTGCAGAAAGCCGTATTGAAGAGCCACTGCTGCATTCAGTGCTTGCAAAATACCTCATGTGGGATCTTCCAACTCCTTGTCGGGGATGGCATGGTGGCTGGGTACTCCAAGCATTTGTTTGCCTGGCGTTGATGTGTTCTTTTAGAGTGTGTTCAAACAGATTGATTCCAAGACTGCCCAAGTAAGCACCAACATTCTGAAGAACTATGAAGAACCGAAGCCCAAATAAGTACTCAAGTTTAAATACGGGTATGTCACTATGTCAAAATAGGGGAACCCAAAGTGATGATTTCCCTTTGTTTCCCTGTCAAATCAAACCCAGAAGGTTGCCCTCAACAAAAACCATTGCCTTGGGAGTACCCACAACTTGCGTCGAGCGGCGATAGCGCTTCTGATCTCGGCTGGACCACTCCCCTCCGAAGATGTAGAGGTGGCCTTGCCAGTAGAAGGCCTGATCCGGGAACAAACCAGATCCATTCAAAACCCCGACAAGATTTCCCCATATTTCCCTCACAAAAACTCGCCTCGAAAGGCAAGGGGTTCTTGTTGGGTCTCTTGAAGTGGCAAGGGATGGAGGGGGTCTCAAAATTACTGGTGGGTTCTGAGGTGGAGAGAGTCGTGAGGATGTCACTGTGGACCCAGGCTGGTTGGGGAAGAGTCCAAATCCCAAACCTGTGGGAGCATCTTTGCTGCTAGAGTTTGAATGGATCTCAAATGTTTTGGGCATCAGATGGATTGCGCAACACAAAGTGTGCCCCAGTCAACAAAACAAACGTGGAAGTCTCATGTGTTGTTTTTTCGAGTCAAGACGCAGATAGAAAGGACTAAAGGACACAACATGTTGCTATGGAGGTGAGTTGCAAGTAGCGATGTCCCAGGCTCCGGAAAAGGTAAAGCAAATGAAAGAAAAAGTCCAAGTGACATCACAACATGTCGGGATGCAAATCTAAGCTCGGCGGAAATGAGCTTCGCTCGAAATGGGCTTCGCTCCTTGTGTGCCCAATCAACCACATCAAACCACTTCCCAGACTCACAGGACGGTGTGACTTGCCTGAAACTCACCCAATCTGCTTCAAGTGCATAGTGCCCCTCTGGAGTGCACACATCTCTATGCACAAGTGGCTACGTGTCACTCACATCAACAATGTCGCAAAGAACTGGGGCCGAAGGGGCCGAAGGGGCCGAAGGGGCCGACGCCAAGAAAAGCAGATCCACCAGTGCAGCACCCCGTCCCATTTCGCTCCAGATCCTCCCGATCTAAAGCCTCTGTTTGGGGGGCCTTCGGTGACCTCCCGGGCCGTGACTTGAATTTCGGGGGAACAGCCGAACCGTCCGACGGAAATCCAACGCCATGGTAGGTTTGGGGAATAAGCTCCACAAAGACTTCGTGGATGGAAATCCAACCCAACAACAATGGTAGGTCAAAATGATAACCCCAAAATGGTAGGTCAAATTGGCGAGCGGCAACTCCGACCAAACCTCGAAGCGACTCGAAAGTCGATTCGCTCGCGAGTTCTCGCGCCTGGTGGGCGGAGCGCGCCTCCGGCCCCGGCAAACTGGGCACCGCTGAGTACAGCTTCCTCGGGTTCAAAGGACAGTGGGGGGTTCAAACCTTTGGATGGCCGAAATCCAGAAATCGCACCACTTGAGAAACCCTGGTCTCTCATGATTCCCTGTAAATACCGACAAACCATGGTGTCAACTATGTCAACCATGGTGTCAAAGTGCTTCGGGATTTCGTCCATCAGCAGTACGGCCCCTGTTGGGACCTTGCCATCCTTTGTCGACTCAGAAGGATACCAAAAACACCCCTAATTTTGACAACCCACATGGTCCTCCAACCATTGCTGTTCACAAAATATCTAGGCCACTAAAAATAGCCAAGCATTGCTTGGATTTACAGACAATGGCGAAAATAACTTCCTTTTTGGACCGTGGCCATGCTTTCAAAAGGGTTCACTTAATAGTACGACAATGGCAGCTGAGCTTTTTCGTGGAAAGAACAATGTCCTCTTCCCCGTCACGAATGTTTTTTCAACGTACTTGGCCAACCACCAATGGTCATCCAATACCTAACTCCTTGCAGGGAACCTTTGATCAACCCCAACTTATATACTGTACACAAATACAACTGCGTCGCATGAAGCTGTGATGTTGGAACCATCAATTGCTCGCTCTTGGCCATTCAGGAGAGAGTAGCATCACGCTGTCTTGCTTGCCTGGGTCAAGCCAAGCATCGGAAGCGAGCTGCAAAACACACCCGAGCAAAGCTTCTCGGAGGCTTTGCTCAGAAAGAATGCGACGGTTTGCTTTTACATCCGCTCTGTGCGAAAGAGACTCAGGATTGAGGCAAAAGGTTGGGGAGGGAAGTTGAAACCAACTGGGTGTGGATCAAAATTAAACCACTAGGGGACCGCAGGTTTTAGTCCATGTTTCCAGTTACCCAGGTTCCATCTTGGGAACCTATTTTTGACCCACACCCAACTCAATGTGGTTTCATGTGGTTCAGTCTTTCCCCTTGAAGTGCGTGACCCTCCCCAAGACTGCTTCCTTGCCGAGCATCTCCCAAGGGAGAGGAACTCCAGACTCAATGCTGCCTGCACCAACAGGTCATCTCAGCTGTGAGTGCCCGATCCGCAAAAAGCAACACCAAGCAATGGCGCCCGTGACGAATTACGCATGGAAAAACTGCCCCCCCCCGGCCGCTGGAAAGTTGTTTTGTGGGAAATGAGGGTAGGTGTCATTTTGGGTTGCGGCCCCATTGCAGGCCACTTGTGGTTTGCAGGGGCTCCTTCGAAAGCTGCTGCCTTGAGGGGTATGTATTCAAGGGTAGTCATATTCTGCGTGATTCCACCCGAATCCACACGATGCTACGCGCAAGTCGGACATGAGTTAAAGGCCGGCCTTTTGAGCGTTGCCCACCATGCTTTGAGGTATGCCCAATGTCACATGCGGTAAAGCCATGCAAACATATTTCAAGTGACACGCCAAGGTGCTCACTGCAAAGGTCAAGCCATACAAAGCCTAAAGGTGCCAACTCCAATTGGACATTCCTCGGCTTGACATGTAGGAGGAGGCATAGCATGCTGGAGCTCAACTTTCTGGTTGGAAGGTATGCCTGGCAAGCATAGGCCCTGCACATCTTGCTTCAGCTAGCCAGAGATTTAAGTGCTGCTACAGATTCGAGGACCGCGCTGTGACAGCATGTCCGCTACTGGCCAAGAAAGCCAAGCTACAACAGACTATGGGTTGCCCATTGGTGTTTCCGTGGCGCAAAACCACCGTGTAGCCAGGAGTTGCATGCAACCTGGTGTATTTGCAAAAGCACTTTTGCTGACACTCCTCCGCTCCTGAGATCTTGCAACAGCATGTTGTTGACACACACACACACAAGCCACACGTAACTTTCGACGAGCGGCCCATATCCAGGCGATACAAATCCTGAGTGGTCAAACGTGGTGATCAGCAAGACATGCCACCCTCTAAAGCGCAGAATCATCTAAGAAGGATGACGGTGCATTCAACAGGATCTCTGAAGACAAACGGCACAAGTCGATTAGACCACTCAAGTTTCCAGCGAATGGCCGGTTGCTCAGCATGCCTCCCTACAACTGCTTCACACACACACACAAAACCTGGTACCAAAGGACTCTCTCTGCGCCAAATTGTGCAAACCTCAAAAGGGGGGCCGCACCATATGATATGAATGGATTGTCCCTTAGAAGCCTTCACTTTCGTGGCTCAACTGACAATTCGCTCGGCCATCCCAAATTTTGAGATCCCGGCGGAATAGAAGGTCAGCTCTCGACCATCGTAGGCTTCGCCGCCAAACAGCAGGATGTCATCTGGGCGGTTGGATTCTCCCCTGCAAGCTCACCTGGAACCCAAAACGGGGGATCTGCCAAAAGCAGATTCCCCTAGATTGGTTTCGAGCTTCATGCTTGCCTGGGGAGTACTTACATGTGTCATGTGAATTTGCCAAACATCGGTTCGTGTTTTGGTTTGTACCCTTTTCTTGGTTTTAAATGGAAGCCAGAAGCAAAACCGAAAACCGTCTTGGGGGGTCCCAGTCCTCCCCCGGAGGTTTCCTCGCGCCGCGCGGAGGCAACACCCAGCCGGCCTCTCCCATCCACATTCCTGGTGAGCGAGAAATGGCTCCTGGCAGTCGCCAAGTGCAAGCGATCGCATATATATATATATATACACATACACATATTCATAGACATATCATATACATGCTTTGTTTACATATGTATCATATATAAAGAATATAGTTAAACATTGTATGTATGTATGTATGTATGTATGTATGTATGTATGTATGTATGTATGTATGTATGTATGTATGTATGTATGTATGTATGTATGTATGTATGTAATGTATGTATGTATGTATGTATGTATGTATGTATGTATGTATGTATGTATGTATGTATGTATGTATGTATGTATGTATGTATGTATGTATGTATGTATGTATGTATGTATGTATGTATGTATGTATGTATGTATGTATGTATGTATGTATGTATGTATGTATGTATGTATGTATGTATGTATGTATGTATGTATGTATGTATGTATGTATGTATGTATGTATGTATGTTATGTAATGTAATGTAATGTAATGTAATGTAATGTAATGTAATGCAATGCAATGCAATGCAATGCAATGCAATGCAATGTAATGTAATGTAATGTAATGTGATGTGATGTGATGTGATGTGATGTAATGTAATGGTACATGTAAATGTAAATGTAACTGTGAATGTGAATCTGAATGTAAATGTAAATGTAAATGGAAAAGGTAAAGGTAAAGGAAAAGGTAAAGGTAAATGTAAATGTAAATGTAAATGTAAGTGTAAGTGTAAGTGTAAGTATAAGTGTAAGTGTAAGTGTAAATGTTATGCTATGCTATGCTATGCTCTGCTATGCTCTGCTCTGCTCTGCTCTGCTCTGCTCTGCTATGCTATGCTATGCTATGTATGTATAACGTGTATATATAGCTTTTGCATAGATATAGATGCATTGTAATATATGGTGTGCATTATCGATCCTGCGGTTCACATCACTCGCTTTGGGATTTGTTTAGGGAGGGTACAACAAAAAAAAACTCACTCAGAAAAGTACGTTAAAAAGTAAGAAACTAGCGACGCACATCTGACATTGACGACTTGGAATGGTCTTGGCGGTTGAAATTTGGGTTCTCCCCCATGTCCTCCACACACAACGGACTACCAGTTATGTCGTCAGTCGCTGGGTATTGCACATGTGAGGAGCACCAAAACCTCTGCCACACAACATGCACACGGGTCGCTTTCAAAAGAAACAAGACTTCGGTTGGCTCATGAAGACCCCAGGGGCGCCGAATTGAGACCAAAGGCAAGTGCAAACGTGAATCCATTCGACCAACCCTCGCTCGCGGCTCAATTTCTCAATTTCTCCTGGGCCAGGGGCGCAAGTAGGCGCAGGTGGCTGGGCCGTGGCCCACCACCAAAGACCACTCCTGCGCCTGGACTCGGAAAGGTAGACTCATATGTAGCTCAAATTTTAAGAGCTGGGGTTACGCAGATGTTGGTCTTTGTTTCCAGAAAACGTAGGGGCCATTTTGGGTACATGCTTTTGAGCCGCGGCCATATAGGGTAGAAATGGATGGTTTCAGTCCTTCTTGTTGGTTTGGATTGGTAGGTCTCAAAGCGCCCAGTGGCCCACGAGGTGATGCTTGAACGGCTTGCAAAGGGATACTTGGGCACCCCTGCTCCCAAAAACAGTAGGGCGCGTTTATGAAGAGGGGGGAACCGATTCTTGAAGATTGACCAGTCTTTTTTAGCCTGCCATTTTATAGGGCCGTCCCGTCCCTTTTCCTCCCAACACAAGTATGGCAAGGAACCCCTTGGTTTGGACCATCCAACAGAGACCCAAAGGGGCACCACACCGTGGGACTCCCCTTTTGAAGTGCTCCAATGGAAGGGCACAAAGTGGCCAGTTCTACCAGGCTTTTCCTTGGGACACTTGCATCTCCCTGTCAAGTTTGCACGAAATCTTCCCATGGCCCCTCGCCCTTGTGGGGCCAACGATTGGATTGGAGGCGAAGCCTGAGAACCCAACACTTTGACCAAGTTCTTTCAGCTTTTGCGCGCAACTGGAGATATGTTTAGATTCTGAACCAAATTGAACAAGTGCCAAATGGTGTCAAAACGGATCCCGGAATCAATAATTTGCCCAATCCACTGATTCATGAAGCCTTTCACAAGGCCAGTCTGCAGGTCTTACCTTCCCGTGCCTTCTTCGCTTGGACTCTTCGTGGGCTGCTTCGAGGGGAAACCACCCATTGGGGAAGAGCGGCCTGGTTTATGCCGCTTGAATGCGCGGGTTTCTTGGCATCGGCAATGTGGTGGCGAAAAAGATGTGTGCGATTTCACCCAGCTTTCACCGCGGAACAGCGATGTGTAGCTGTTCCGGCCAACTCATCAACCATACACTCCTCAACTTCGAATTAGATTTGAGGAACCCGATAAAAAACACTCTCGGCTCACCTAAGCATTGTGTGGCTGATGGCTCTGATCCAAATCCAACGGCCCGACAAAGACTCTGCTCGCACTGTATAAACCCATACGAAATGAAACGAACAAATGATCCTGAAATGATTGAACGATCCCATCATTAGGGAGCTGTGACTTCCAAACCACGTGAGTCAAAACCAACCTTGTAGCAGGAGTCTAGTCTTGGTTGACGTTGAGGGGGAGCAACAATTTAAATTTTAGCAGTTAAGTGGGGAGTTTCCACTAAACCGCAATAAGCAAAAATGTAAAATGTTTCCCAACAACAACCATGTAGTTGGAAACTGTTTTGCGGTCATGGCTACCCTCCACTTCCAGACCCACATCAAGCGAGCCGGAGCGACGTCCGGAGCGACGTCCGGAGCTGGCTCCTCGAGAAACACATGGAGTTCCGGAGAAAGTACGTGTTCCCCCAAAAGGACATGGGGCAACTTGGCGAATTTACTGGGAAACTTGGGTGGGTGCGTGGGCCCGCATGCCCCCCCCCCAAACTCAACCACTACTCCCAGTGAGTTTGCCAGTTGATCAGACAGGGTTTGGGTGTGGGACGAAGACGTTTCATGGCGCTTTCACGACCCAGGGTTACAAGCTGCAACAACTACTCTCGATTGACCATGGTCAAACAAGATTGATTTGCCATATGTCTCTGGGGGGAGTTTAGGGCAAATGGTCAAAAAGGTTAGGCAAAAGTCTACAGAAAAATGGAGCCACACCGCTCACATCTCAATTTCCTCTCCTCGACCTCGCCCCTTCTCTGCTGCTTCTCGCGGCGAGAGGCCTCCCCAGCTAGCGATGGGACATGGGTGGGTTGGCTCAATTTTTTAAGGGCTGGGGTTACGCTGGTTTTGGTCTTTGTGTCCATCCAAGGGGGCCCAGAAATGGGTTCCACTTTTTTGAGCCGCAGCCATTTGGCTTCCCTTGAACAACCCAACAATGGGCGTCCAGTTCACCACGCGAAGGCTAAAGGTATCCTCCAGGCCACTACAGGAGATCTCAGGAACCCATTGGAAGACTTTTAGCAAGTTTAGTCATGGGAGCAAACCAATGGTAGTCATTTAGCGCCTACTTGGTTGGGCCAAGCCCTTGCTTAAACATGATTCAATCACGGTTCCAACTCAGCAATGCAGTCTCCTTTGGGTTTCCCTCAGGAACCAAACTCGGGTTGGTTGAAACAAACTGTCCAATTCCCATCGTAGTTTCGGCACCTACCACTCCACCAAGCATACATAAACACACGCGCACACACACACACACACACTCACACCCAGCCAATGACAAAAAAGCAAACATTGATCCCTATGTTGGTCGATCATGGGGTAGATCCAACATCCCCAAGAGGACATGTCTCAGAATAGGGGACCCCCATGGTTTCAGATTCTCCACTTCCGGACCGGATGTGTTGATCTCGCCCCCCCCCCCAAAAGAACCCTGAAGTGCGTTCCACTTTTTCGGACCAAACCCAACATGCGCCGTGGTAGATCCAACCTCCGGCCTCCAAGGCCGAGGCCTTGGCCGATTTCTCCGCCGCGCGCTGCGCCTCACAAAGCGCGAGCGCTTCGCTTCGGCTCGGGGCTTCGCCCGACGTCTTGAGTCTAGATCTTAGGTCTGGATGATCTAGCTTTTGCACAACCAATATTAATAATGTGCACATTTGCACTCCCCAACAAACATAGCTTGGGGAACTTTCTGCAAAAGCGTCCCGGCGCATCCTCCAAAACAACAACTAAAGCACCTTGGTGCCGGAGGATGGACCCCCAATGTCTTTAGGAATCTTGGCTCGAGCTTTTGTGAGTAACAATCAGCCAGCAAACCCAACCAATAGTCAACCAGGAGATGGGTCTGACATCCCTACTACTGGAAACTTTGACAAAGCCTCATGCCAATGTGAATTGGGGTCTTTGCCTTGCGGACCCAACTACCCGACGTCACGTGACCTGCGGACGCAACTATGCATGTGTCCCCGCCGGCTATGGGGAAAATCGGCGTTTGGTGTCGCCTTGCCGTCTGCGCTGCGCTGGGCTCAGCTAGGCAGGGTGCTCTGCGTGACCACACCAGTGATCCCCAAGGTCGCAACACGAGGCACATTATAGCACCGCCCCTGACACGCGGCTAGACAGCCAACTGCCTCTACGACTGTCAGGTAGCTGGGCAGGCACCGACGTGAGCACATCTCCTTGTCAGAAGCAGAGCTAAGGGTTCCTTGCACATAAATCCAAAAGCAGTGACATCTGCCTCCGTTTTCACTTGTCATGAAAGCTAGCAGACATCATGAAGACTGACTTGTGTCTTGCAAAACTATCCGAGGCGGATGTTGAGCAATGTTGGGAACGTACTCCCGCATGGACGGAGTACCACCACTGCTCCTTGGTGCCGACAGAGCCAACTCTCATGATGTCGTACCCTGCACGAGCAATTGATTGCTCGTTGGTGGAAATGGATGAGAGCATGAAGCTCGCATGGGCGCAGGCATCCCTTCCGCACCATGTCAGAGCAAAAAGGCAAAATAGAAAACCGCTTGCCTCATCCAGCCCCTTGGGGGCGAGCCACCACTGACCATGCCGCACACGATACGCTGCAATTGAGTGCACGCGCGCATCATCTGCATCGTTGCTCAACTCAAACTTGAACTGGCCCATTTTAGAAATATGTCAAACCTCCCAACATCCCGTAGCTCGGCGGGGGAGCACCAGGGTAAACGGAGCGTCACTGAAGGCCTTGGGCCGTGCTAAGACTACACCAACAACTTTCCAACAATGCTCTCAGTTGCTCGAAAACGACAACCTCGAAGCAGTCCAGTGGCACACTCAGGCTCAGCTGTGTGAAAGACTTGCGTTTGATTCGCTGCAGCCGCTGGGAGCCGCTGAACGCACCTTTCAGCAATCCCCGTGGTGAGGCTGGGCAGCCTGCCAATTCATATTGGAGATATAAGACGACCAATGAGGGATAGTTCTGGATGAAGTGCATGTGCACGGACATGCCAAAGAAAAGTGCTGCACATTTTTCGAACTTTGATCTTCGGCTTATGTTCAACGGCACCTGTTGCTGCGTGGCCATCTGGCAGATGGGCCACAAACTCGAAAGTCTCAACCCTCGTAAGCTGTAGATTGAGAACTCCTGCCCAATGCTCGTGAAAGTTGCCGCTCTTGGTGCATTTCGCAATACTTCAGGCAACTCTCGCCCTCCGCACACAAAGAATCATACAACACCCTGCTGTGCCGTCACGATTCCCCTTTGCTGGCCTCTGGCTGGTTCCACCCAAACTACCAAAACCACAAACTACCAAAACAACACAAACTGCCAAAACAACCCACCCACCCTCCCACCCACCCCCGAACCCACCCACCAACCCCACCAACTGAACCCAACCACCCCACCCCCTCAAGACACCTCCGCCCCATCCCATCCGCATCCTTCGGAGGGCGCCTGGCGCTGCTTCGCCTCCGCCGCCTTCCGCTCCTCGCTTCCCACCTCCGCCCGCAGCTGCGCCAGGATGCGCTGCACCTGTCGCCGGAGGTTGCTTCGGGGCCGCGCGCGGAAGTCGGGGGAGGGCGGTCGATTTGGGAGCGGCGTTGCGGAGCGCACGGAAGGTCGATTTGTCGTACTTTCCGAGCCAAAGATTGTACGGATTGGCCATGGTTGGTTCCGGGTTCTTGGGCAGTTGGCTAAAACAAGAGGACCCGATTGACTGCAGGCTAGGGAAGAGGATGGAACTGTGCAAGTGCCGGCTGCCTTTGGGCATACCTTATGGGACATTGGAGTCTTCTTGGAATGTGGCTTGCCTAGGTTGTGATCATCGTGTCGTTCTCTCAAGAAAATCGCCGCACGAAAAAGTGGGACGGAAATGTGCCTCGCTAGTTTGGGCAGAAGCCGGAAGGTTCCCTTGATTCGTGAGTTCAGACCCTCCAGGCTTTTGGCTGGTTCACTGAAACCCTCGGGCTCTCATGTCGTATTTGTCACATTGAATTCTGAGTCCACTGAGACTGATTGTGCCACTCGGCGAAGCGCTCTGATGGCGATCCACGTGCCCCGGGGTCACCAGAAAAATTCAATCTGTGTGGGCTCTCTCGCAGCTTGAAAAATGGTCACTAGCTCAAGTCCCCTGAGAAAAAAAAAAAATCCAGTATAGTGATCGATTCCCTTAAAGGTCAACAGGGGGAAACTGCCAAAAAAAATATTCAGCCAAAAAAAAAACAAGCAGCCTCCTCCTGGATGAACTGAAAGATGTTCGTGGCCACCTGCGCGATGTGCCGGTTCCTCAGCCGGAGGCTTGGACACCAGCTGACTTTGGGATCACCTTTTTTGACCCAAGGCTCACGACGCGTTCGCTTTGTGTGGTCGCCTGAAAAGTCGGGGGGGGGGGGGGGGGATACCGAGCCCAAGGCCATGTTTTTTTTGCCCAGGCGGCTCAAATCCCCCGATCGGATCCCAAACCGCCCAGTCACCGGGTTTGAACAAACATCATCACAACAACTGGGCATCGATCTCCTTCGGCCCCATGGCTTCGTGGATTTTCCACATTGTCCTTCTTCCCCCTTGAACCCACGGGTGCTAAAGGCCACCATCCCAACCCCAAAAAAACACGTGGCTCACCCCCCGCCCCCTCACCCCCGGCCCCCTTTCCCGGCCCCACGAATTCGCGCGCGCGAATTCGCGCGCGCGGCCCTCCGAGGCGGGGCGCTTGTCCGGGTGCCACTGCGCCAGCAGCTGCCGCACCAGGCGCTTCTGCTCCGCGAGTGGCAGGGAGCCATCGGAGGCCCAGGCCAGCAGCTGCGCCCGCAGGGTTCGCTTGATGTCCTGAAGGAAAAAAATCGGCGCGAGGGGATTGGGTATAGGTTCCGGTGGATCCGGTGGATCCGGAAAACAAATTGGGGGGGGGGGGTTACAGGGGTCGCTGGAAGTCTTCCTCAAAAGTTGAACGAGAAATCCATCCTACGGTATGGCGCGAGATTCAACGATTATATGGACCGCAGGATGGTCCGGTGGATGGTCCGGTGGATGGTCCGGTGGATGGTCCGGTGGATAGTCCGGTGGATGGTCTGGCGGATGGTGAAAATGGGGTTTTGGTCTACAGGGGTCACTGGAAGTCCCCTTCAAAAGTTGCTCCAGGATAATTTTAGTTTATCACCATATGGACCACAGGTTGTCCTTGTTTCCAGTTCCCGGGCCCATCTTTTGGAAACCGATGTTTGACCCACAGCGATAGGGTAGATCCATGCGAGAGGAAACCGGCCATACACCTGTCCAAGGTGAAGTTTCATGGGTCCCCAGAACCCGTGATCATGTAATTGAGTTTTTCAGCCAATGGGGAAGTTACGGGTGAATTCCCAGTTGGCTTCGAAGGCATTGCATGTAGAGTAACGCCTGCACCGACCAAACCGATGTTGCTCCTCTTTAGATGGCGAGTGGAGGAGAATCTAAATGAAAGCGCCATCCATATACCAAACTGACCCTGCTGGCTCTTTGACCCCTGCAAATGTTAAACTGTTTCTAGATGGTAAGGAGGTTGTCATGTTCAACAGCTTGAAAGGTTAAAGGCTATACCAAAGAGCACCCAGTATGCTACCAAGTATTGGCTCCTTGATCTCCTCATCGTCCTCAGCCTCCACCGTCGCTTCAATCTGTGGCACCTGCTGCCCAAGACCGCACGCGCACTATGGAAATTGGATTACTGAAATTCTCAGTGCAGCACTGAATGCCTGACCTTGTACACTGAGGCACAGCATCGGCCACTTATCCACGCCTCTTCTTTGGCAGGTGCGTCGCTCTCTTCCTCCACTTTCTCGCCTTCGTCCTCCTCCGCTGCCTCCTCCTTCTCGTCCTCCTCCTCCGTCTCCTCCTCCTGCCCAGGTTTAGTCTCAGAGAAGAACACGAATCACCATGCAGAATCTCACGCCTGTCCGCCAAGGCAATAAAGCACCCAACAATCCCACTATTTTGCCACAACCAGAGCGTGTCCATCCCATGTAGTAACTCACTGCACACTGAATACTCGACCGGATGTTTGAGTGGATAGCTGAACAACAACACGCATCCACCCATCCGCAAATAAGTTGCCTGTGTCAAGTCCCCGGATCCCGAGCATCCCGGCTCATTCCCCATGCCTTCGCAGGTAGCACGTTCTCTGCACAGTACCTGGCGTCTTGCCCATGGGTGACTCAAAGGCCAGCAGGGTAGAGGTTGGGTAGCAATATTCAGCATCACCAGCATTACCAGCATCGCGCGCAACATCACCAGTGCGCCCGTGCTGATTCATCTGAGCACCACCTGAGGTTGCCTGCATCATGAGCGTGCGCGCCTTGCATTGAATGTCCCCCTGGTGATCGGCTGGCACATCTGACAACACACGCAATCACACACACACACACACACACACACACACACACACACACACACACACACACACACACACACACACACACACACACACACACACGCGCACACACAGACGCGCAGACGCGCAGACGCGCAGACGCGCTGACGCGCAGACGCGCAGACGCGCAAACGCGCAAAAACGCACCCACACAGACACGCACACGCACACGCCAAAACAGAACGGACGATGTTGCCTATGGATGTGCAGAAAAAGAAACGCCGTTTGGGTGCCATGGGCCTTTTAAGGGCAACTACCTACATGTTCCACCGGCATCTCAAACACTGCTAACACCAATGGAGCGAAAGGGAAGCCTGGCGTCTTGGAGGGTCCAATCAATCAGCAATCAGACGAGCCACACCACGAACGAGGGCGCTTGCAAATGCAAGCGAGATATGCCTACGTTGCAACCTTTCAGTGCGAGCAACTTCGGCAAAACAAAAGCTGCAACTTGCACGATGGGGATGCTGTGCCTTGGGCACAAACAAAGTCTTCCTTGTCAAAACTGAAACTGCGAAACCGCCCATCGGCGCACGCAGCGTCTCCGTCTTCTCCTTGCCAGCGATGAATTCGACGTATTCACATCTCCAGGGCTGCAATACCAAAGACAACCCTCGTGTGTGCACGGAACTTGCAGAACCCCCCCCCCCCATTCCCCCCCCCCGTATGAGTCATACTGTTCCACTTTCGAATCCCTTGTTGCCCTCCCCCAGCAAAAGCCTGGCCTAGGCCCACTCGGCGATGAGCGTTCGCACGCCGAGCCTCGCAACCACTTTAGCTGAAGACGGTTGGCGTCGACCCCGCATTCAAACAAACCTGGGATTAGCATGAACGCCGAAGTGTCCCAGAATGTTTCCCAACTTTCCTCAGATTTGAGCATGTCTTTCTTGAGGGTACCCTTTTCAGCTTGCTTTAAAGGGAAACCAAACAGAACCCCCCCACTCCTTTGAGGACCCGCCTCGTGAGAGATTTCACTCGCACCCATCTGCTTGCGCCCGCCTGGCGCTTTTCGAGCTTGCCAGTGTTGGCCTCCTGCCAACGTGGCAGTTTGCTGCGATTCGGAGCCGGAGATTCGCTTTTGGGATACCTCAGATAACTCTGACGGACCCAGGGAAATGTCAAGGACACCTGTGAGGTCAAAACATCACTCCAATTTCAATTGGAACATGTACGCCAACACCTGCTATATAATTGATGCCAGGGAATGGGAAGGGATCCCGCCCTGCGGTTGCAAGGTCTGCAATGGCGCTATCGGCACGATCAACCCTGCGGTACCATGCCAGACCTCTGGTAAGTTGCGGGTTTGTTTAGGGGAAGCCCCGCCGGGACGCAGATACCCTGGAATTGATTGTTGTTTTTCCGCCTTGGGAGATCAACAGAGAGTGCCTGTTGCCGGCTCAATTTAAACGGAGATCAGGACTTGTTTAGGAGAAAACACTCGCCGAGCAATCTGCAAGGTTCACTGATCCACGGTTGACAGCAGCCAAGCTTTGCGATTCAAGCGAACCACCAAAGTAAACCAAAACAGTAAGCTCGCTCTGCTGGCATCCTATTTCACAGCTTGCTCCGAGCTTCAAAACGACGACCAAGCTCCCAGGGCAGCAAATTGGTGTTGGGTCCTCTTGATCTGCAAACACAAGTAGAAACGGAATCTCTGAGAACCAAGGCATCACAAACGGCTCAAGCTACCAGGCCCAACCCTCTCCTTGATCTCTTTCTTCGCCTTTCGGCCCTTGCCTTGCCTGCCGGGCCAGGGGCGAGTCAGAGAGGCTTGAGTAAACCTGAAACAGACATCAACCTTGCAAATCAACTCACCGAAGTCATCTTGGGTTGGGTGAAACAGTTGGGAACGACTCTTGAGCACACTGGGGCGCCCGGCTCCGGCATGCCGTCCGCCGGCCGTCTTAACCAGGGTTGGGTGATTCAACCCCTGGCCTGAACCATGGTTTCAACCCCGTTGTTTCAACAAGATCCTTTTTGGTTTGCCTTTAAAGGGGCCAGGGTCTGGTTGTTTCCGCACATTTTGCCCAAGTGTCAACCTGACTGGACCAAACCTGGCAAGGATGGGTGTTCTTGAAGGTCACTAAGCAGACGGTCGCATGTGCAAATGTGGCCGGGAGGCGCAGGAAAAACTATGTTCCTTCTGGTACGTTCGGAACGTTGCGTGGAGAAAAACATACATGTGACGCAGGCATGGATTATTTGTCGGGACATTTGCTGGATTGATGTGCACATTGTCTTTTCATGCAGCTCAGGTGCACTGCGCATGAAACCCAAAGCTAACGACAAGAGGTGCGGTTTTGAGCCAAGCTGGGCGAAACAAGCTATGCAGAAAGACCGGCAAGAAATTCTCTAACGCGAAGTGTTGGGAAACCAAACCTGTGGCTGACGCCAACAACTTTGTGGCCTGTCAGTCTGCCAGTGTGTTGCTTTGCGGACCAGGCGCTGAATGAGTTGCCCGTGGAAAACAGTAAAGGCTCAGCGCTGACCATCCCACCCTCAGCCCTGTGCTTTCATCCAACAAGCCATTCACCTGCGGGCGGCCAAGAGTTGTGTAGCTTGGATGCGCGCGTGGGCGTGCGCGTGAGAGTGTGCGTGGGTGGGTGTCGGCGCGCGGTGCGACGCGTGTGCGTGTGCGTGTGCATGTAGGTATGCGTGTGTGTGCATGTAGGTGTGTGTGTGTGTGTGCATGTAGGTGTGTGTGTGTGTGTGCATGT